ATCTTAGTAACTCTACTCTACTCTATACCTACCTATTTACTACTATAGTTACTATTTAATATTATACTCTACTACTCTTTCTATAAAAACTAACTAATAAGAAGGCTAATACTAGAAGTTTTATATTACTTTTACTTAAGCTATACTTATAATGTTTACTAAGAATTATAGCGTAGTGTATCCTTTAGATTCTTAAGACTAATTACTAGTAAGTAGTTTCCTCTATTACTAATTATAGATTGTAACACTCTACTATTCTATATATCTATAAGTAACTAAGTTTATAGCTAAGAACTAGCTAAGTCTCTATAGAATTCTATCTATCTATTTACATTCTAATACTATTTTTAATTATTCTATTACCTAAAAGAGACTACTTTTATTTATCGTGTTATTATAGTGGTTTAGAATTCCCTAAGAGGATTTTATTATGTTAAAGGATTTTAGTATAGAAAGAATAATTAACTAGATTATTTACTAGAAAATATGCTCTAATCCAACGGGTATTCCAACGTCTCTTGTATCCGCATTCAAGACCTTGAAGACCGGACCTCTACTACCTCCACTCCCTCTCCAAACCGTCTCTACTATCTTACCGAACGACGTTCTACCCGCACTATTGACAGCAAAGTACACGATTTGTTCCACACCATTCCTATAGATAACAAAGCTCTCAATTCCCAGCGTCTGCTTCTCGCCCGTATAGTCGACTTCGGTAAAAAGCGACGACTGCGCAGACGAAATGAGAGTATCTGTTGGCACGGCTAGATTAGGGGACGTTGGAGATGCAGGAAGCTCGTCAATCATGCGGTCGAGGTACTTGATAGCTGTAGGCGAAGAGCTCCATGAGCCACGCTCGGCAAAGAATAAGGAAGTACCTGCAATACGCAGTTGGCCTGGTTTGTCGACTCCAGTAACTAGAACCTGCTCCTGCCCCTCGCCGCTAAGAAGGACACGCCGGATGCTGCCGTCACTTGCTGAGCTCCAATAGAGCCAGCCCCGTGCTTCGTCGACGACAATGCCGCCGGCGTGTGTATTGGCATAGCTGTAGTTCTTAGAGAGAAAGGTGAGGCCTTGAGACACGTTGCGGAATACAGCGACGTTACTGCCGTCGTAGTTTGAGGAGTAGATGAGGCCTGTGTTGGAGTCGCCATAGTAGAGCTTTCGAGATTGCTCGGCTACTGTAATGCTGACAATTTGACTCGATGCGCCGCTCTCTTTGGTTAAGACGTATTCCAAATTCCCACCGTCTAGGTTGGTTCGCGCAACGCCCCGACCTGTGACGGAGAAGAGTGACGAAGTTGACGGCGAGTATGTAAGGGCATAGGCAAGTATAGGCTGTCCGAGTGTGTTGGGATCCGACTCAACTACGCCGAATTGTGTAAGGTTAGCCGCGTTAGTACCGTCAATGTTGATACGGCGAAGAGAAGTCGGCCATATGGGGATCGGTGTGCTGCGATGCCCTACACCAGTATCGAGAACGACAAGGTACTGGGAGGCCCGTGAGTGTAGGCTTGGTAAAGCTGCGGAGAGCTGAAACAAGGTTAAGACGGACAGGAATAACATGGCGCATAGGACAGAGATCATAGCCGATAATTCTGGGTATCGTGCAATGGAATGAAGGTCATTTTATCTGAAAGTGCTCGTAGATTTTGTTGGGAGTTTGGAACGAACTCTCCCGTAATGCAAATTGAGCGGGTAATAGAAAGTCTTCTTAAGGATACTGACTATTGGTTTCTATATTAAAGAAACGCAAAGGCGCGTTCGAGTCCTCTGGAAAAACGATGCCCCGTAAGAAAAAAAAACAGTAGCCGCTGACACCACAGCTGCATAGCTACTAATGTCGGTTAGTATGTTGTAGCGTCAGCAGTAGTGAGTGGCGACTAGGTCCCGATCAATAAAGATAGATTGCTTGCTGCAGGACCTGCATCCGCAAAATTGGCATTTGCCGCAAGCTGTCTAGGCAAGATAACTTGTTGGACAGCCGAGGCTGGAGAGACGGGATAAGACGAGACAAGAAATTAGAATGGGTGCAAAAATATTAATACGTGTCTAATGTTCTGGCGCGTAAATGCGGGTAGCGTACGAAATGGAAAAACCCGGTACTCCAATGCTGATGCTCTTGCAAATTCACCTCCCAGTGGCCGATTTTCCGAAAGACTCTCCACAGATGCTCAAGGAATAGCTGCGGGGTCCTTGGGCCAGTTGGCAGCAAAAGCCGTCCAGGGTGTACCTCTCATGACCATCTTGCCGTCTTTGTCAGGGACGTACAGGAGTGGGTCGAATCCCTGCACGCTCGCCCAGGACAAGAACAATCGTCGCCAATAACATGTCACTGCTGCTGGTGTAAGATACCTTCGGGTAAAGGTCTCATAACTATTCTTTGCAATCTGCTCTGCGTCGTGGTCATGATCACGATAGTATTCCATGGCAGACTCGAGGTTAGCAAAGTTCTCGGAAGCTTCAATATAATTCACCTCGGGACCAGCGAGGCGCATGAGGTGGGTATGAAACTCTTGCCATTCCAGCGGGTGGGTGATCATGGCCGAACGGCAGAGCTGGAGGTACTTGAGGCGACCGGAGTAGGATGTTCCTTCGGTTTGGACAGTGTACTTGTATCTGAGGAAAAGAAACATCAGTATTGGAGCACAGGTTTCTTGTGAGAGAGCAAGGAAACATACCCGCAGAAATCCCTCAAGTTCATGACGTCCTTTGTATGAGGATCGCTGGCGTTGTTGATGACGACGGGCTTGATATCGCTCCAATCCTTTCCTTCACTAACTTTGACCAGCTCCTTTCTTAGCTTTGCCATCTTGATCTTTCCTCGCCAGACAACCCTGGGGTCCTTTTTGTGCCAGGGCAATTCTTTTTCCTTTTGCTCAATCTCTTTCCTAATGCTGTTCCAGCTGGGAGCGTGGGTGTAATTCCAGGCCCAGTAGGCGTAGTTGGGCATCATCCAGATGTCTTTGTATTCTGGAGTGTCTTTTCGCGTGTAGCCAAAGAAAGTTCCCTCCTTCCGAGACCGGCGTGGTAGGTCATCAAGCGAAAGCGAGAACTCAATGTTTGGGACTGCAGGATCAGAGGTCGATGCAGAAGTGACGGCACGGTCAATCTGGGCCAGAGTTCCAAGAATCCGTTCTCTCTCATTCCCGTTGGTAACATAGCATTTTTCCGGGATTCCGGCATCGACAACGAAGAGCTGAGGCAGATGTGAGCACGCATGCAGACTAGGAAACCAATCAACATCAACATACCTCTCCCTCATAGATGAGGACTCTCAGCATACATCTTCCTTCTTCTATTTGAATATCTTGGGCATCAACCTTTCTGCCCTCACGCAAGCGGACGGATTGGTCAAGGCTGTGATAGAGCTTTGGGAAGGCGGAATCGCATTGGTCCTGGCTAAGGGTGTGGACATTGGCGTGGACATCGGGATCAAAGGTCCAGTCGCCTAATATGCGCCTGTGGGCAAAATCGATGTAGTTGAGTTTGGACTGGCCCCATATAAAGTAAAGCTGTGTGGTGATTATAAAGGTGGAAACGTAAAAGACAAGGTGGGGAAAGGATAGACGGTAGCCTTTGGGGATCATGATGGCATAACGGTGAGGAAGAAAACGAGCGACTAGGGAACAAAATGACAATGGGAAAGAAAACGACGTTAGGCACAAGGAGGAGCGGGCTGGGCGGGACAAGAGAGTTCAAGAGCTGGACAAGAGGGTCAAGAGAAAAGCGCCTGGAGAGGGTGGGCCGGAGATACGAGGGCCAAGGTGGGAGAAAGGCACTTGAACAACGGCTAGCCATATGAGGTGTGGGCATGTGCTTGGGAACCCCTGGGCTACGCTGGCGCCATGACGGAGGGGGCAAGTGGAAGGCGACGGTTCGAGGAGCAAGGCCTATGAGAGGGCCGAGGGAGGCGGACACGATAAGCGCATGGTTTGGAATACGATGAGCCGGATGTGGAGGTGACAGAAGCTATGGATACAAAGTGACTCGCATGGAGCACTCAGGGGCTGCGGCGTCTCCCAGACCCTGGCACTAGCGCGCTTTGAACACGGCTAGGCCTGGTTGCGGTTAGCGGCTGAGGTGTGACGCCCATGCGCCCGAGGCGATGGCGATTTTTGGCTTCTTGGGCGGCTCTCACGCCGTTGCATGCAAGCCTCTTTTTTTTCCCTCTCACTCTCCAAGCCACCAGCCAGCTGTGGTGTGCGGATGAGCGAGGAGAGACCAGTCCAGGCGCGCTCGGCGAATTTCACATCAAGCAACGCCATGCTCGCAAAAGACTCTGGGGTGGGCGGGCGGACTTGGCACTGGAGCTTAGCTGACTTGTCCCCTGATAGCTGCAGTTCGCTTCCTTTTGTCGCAACGGCACGCGTTTAGCAAAGTGGTCCAACTGCAGGCAATGAAGATCACGTTGCAGTCTCATCTCCTTGCGGCCACAAATCCTTTGGTCCCCTGCACCGCAAAGGGGGCTTCTGCTGCCATTGCCCGCCACCTAGCCTCATCAGACTGCCCAAGGTCACCGCCTTTGTTTCGTCAGAGTGCTGTTCCCAATGTCCATCCCACTCGCCCATGGCACCCGTCCTAGCAACTACGTATATCGTATGTACGTATGTGCTCGAAGGCGCTATGTGTGCATACACGTAATCACGTGCCCGCAGACATGCCGCCAGTCTGCCGACACAGCAGAGTGCTTGATACGCTAGCCACATCAAATCCGCCACCGTGTCGCTGCCATAGACCTCATACCGTAACCTGCATGCGACCGAACACGCCGAATTCCAAGTAGGGGCGAGATGCGGACGTGTCTACTGTGCTCGACATGCTCAGCCAGCCAGCAAGCAAGCAGGGATCATGTCCTCTGTCAAGACTGCCCCGGTCGATGAGCATATACGCGCCTAGATGACGCTGCAGACAGTCGTTTCCTTCTTACGTTCACACAGACACAGTCGCCATCTGCTCCGTCGCAACGCTGGCCCATCCGTGCTAGCAATACAAAAGACAGCTGTTTCTTTTCCACAGTCTATTTGTTGAGACAACACGTCCACACAGGCAGCAAGTCAAGTGTTGTGGCATTCAGGCGCTCACAGCTAACATGTGACAAAGCTAGTTGCGGGTGTACATCGTATTGTTACATTCCAGAAACTCACACAGCCACCGAAAAGGCACCGCGCACTTGATGGACCCAATGCCACGTGTGGGAACTAGTCCGGAATACCCGCGTACCTAGCTTCCAAGAACACATACTAATATAAGCTCAAGGGTCTCGAAGAGATCAGAGACGTGCACCGTCCAGAACAAGCAATTGATAAAAGTAAACGTCGTAAGACTTGCCTGCACGTCTACTTGGGCTCTGAACGCACAAGCGCAACGCAAAACAGTATCTGCAACGCTCCCATGGCCAACAAAACACAGTAAATACCCTGCAGACCAAATCTAAATAGCTAGCAAACACTGCATCATCCGTACGTCAAGAAATAGACACATGTCCAAACAAAACACAAAGAATCCACACCGACAACTAAATGCTTGTGCAAAAGCCCTCGATCTAAGCTGAGCACCAACTGTTCTATCAAACGCCTACGCTATGCTGAAGCCGTACAAATACACCAATGACACTGCTGGTTGCAAACCATGCTCTCCATATTCATCATAGCTCATGCAATCACACACTCTACCGCTTCTTCCCTTTTTTGCCCCCGCCAGCTACCGACTTGAGCGCAGCGTGTCCGGGGTGGTCTTTCAAATGTTGATGCAGTTGGGTTTTGGATGGAAACCCCGCATTGCACCCGGCGCACTTCATCTTTGCGCCACTGTCGTCGGCTTCGGCCTGCTTGGCCGCCTTTTTCGCCCGCTTCTGTGCGGCTTTGCCCATTTTGGGCTGTATCGCTGCAATGCCTTCTGGTTGAGTATCATCTGTTGACTTGGACTCAGGCTCCTCAATGGGTTTGGGATCAAATGACTCTTTGCTACTGAAACCTGCCAGACGCGCTTCAATCTCCGATCGCGAAGCATATTCGTCGTCTTCGCCATCATCACCATCGTCCTCGTCGTCGTCACTGTCTGCCGATGCTAGCCTAGAGGCGGTGTGTGCCTCGGTGGCTTTGCTGTCAGACGCATTTCCCGTCAACTGGGCCTCCTCCTTGTCTGTGTCATCATCTCTTACCCCAAGTTTGCCTGCTTTCTCCGTGACATCTTCAACGAACCCATCTGAATCGTTCATCTCGGCAGTAGTGGCATCTGCTTCAGGATGCTCGTCTGCTAGCGTCACAACATTCTCTTTCAGAGCATCCTGGCTCAAGTCGAGATTTGCATTGTCCTTTTGCATCTTCTTCTTCAGCGCTTGTATGGACTTTTGATGCTTCTTGCTCTTTTCATGCGCGTCGTACTGTCGCTCACTCTTGAAAGTCTTGTTGCAGGCTACACACTCGTAGTGCTCCTCCTCGATTTCCTCTTCACTCTCCTCATCCAGCTCGTCATCCGGACGTGCGGTCGCCCAATCTGGAACTGCCTGGGCCTCTTCTTCCATCTTGGCAATCTGTGCAGCCCTTGCTCGTGCAGCCTGGGCCTTGCGCGCGTCCCGTTGCGCCTTGGCCTTGGCCTCGTCCGTCTGATTGTTGGGTGTGTAGCGTGGATCTCGCTTGCGTACAAAGGCGACCAGCGTCCTGACAGCATCGTTGAACTCTCGTCTTCCGTCATCGCGAAGCTTTTGGTTTTCCTTTTCCATCAGTCTGCGCGTGCGGCGATCGGGGGCATGGGACAGTTGGTACATGTCCAACCATGCAAAGCTCTTGGCCGTGGCGAATCCGTTCCAGGCGGCATAGAAGTCGCGCACGACACCGTCGTAGGTGTCTTCCTTGTGGCCAAAGGAGGGGTAATTTGGTATGTCGATGTCTTCATAGTCTGCTGCATATTCTTCCTCGCGAGCGAGCTGCTCGAACGTCTCTCTGACAAAGCCAAAAAAGCCATTGGGTGAGTCGGAAAAGTCTACGTTTCCTCTGAACTTGCCCATCATCCGCGCCAAGTCGTCTGCTGTGGTAACACGCATGCTGCCCTGGTAGTGCTCGCCAGCATCTTCCTCTCCAGTGCCCCCTCTTAGGATGCTCGCCTCGTGGGCGTCGTACCATGCGCGCTCCTGGTCGTCTGATAGGACTTCGTAAGCGGCTCGCACCTCGGCGAAGAGGGCGGTGGTGCGTTCGACATCGCCATAGTTGCGGTCGGGATGGAGTTCGAGAGCTTTCTTGCGGTATGCCTTCTTGAGCCTGCAAGGAATCAGTAGTGAAGGGTCGACGAGGCCATGGTGACGCACTCGTCTTGGGTGGCATTGCGCTCCACTCCTAGCAATTCATAGTAGCTCGTCTTGACCTGGCCACCTGCGGACGCCTCCTCGCCGTGAGACGACTGCGATGCACCCATGCTGAGCGTCTCGACTGTAAATAGTCGGAGCTATGTCAAGCGTCTAAATGAGTGTTTGTGGTGCTGGTCCTCTCTCCGGCCTGACTCTGTGTTGCCGTGGTCGAGGTTGTCTACTAGTCTGGGTGGGTCTATGTATATGTATATCTCTCCGGGGACCTGACGAAGCACCCTTGCGACACTATGGCTGCGTTTTGAGCTTCCCTGGGCTTCGTTCACGGCCGTCTTATCAACTAAGGTGCGCCCAAGGCATCTCGGGTGTGGTTTTGTCGCACATGTGCATGGATGAGTCGTTAAGAGACAGAGTTGCGTCATGGCCGAGATTCGGCTATGACTGTGCGGCGACCGACAGCTGATTGGTGGGCGGCGGCGCAGGCGAAAAATGTTGTACGCAGATGTGACCAGGAGCGAACGACGGGTGCAAAAAAGTAAGCATTTTCGGGCTTTCTTTTCTTTTCAAAGGCGCCGCTTTCCCACGTGTCTGAAGGAAGAAGCATTCACATTGCCAGAAGGCGTTGGCGTATTCACCTCACAGCAACCGAGCGGGTGTACTGATGGCGAGCGGAACGAAAGCCTGTTGTTGCTAGAGCTGGCTGGAACGTCGTTAATCGCTCATCTGTCGGCGCCGTATTCTCCTCGGTTTCCTTTGGTGCTTACCGTCGACCGCACCAGGCCCCTTTGCACTCACTCCTTACTCGACTGCACTCTTTGCGACTCTTCGCACAACTGCCTTTTTCCTCACACACACACACATACATACATACATACATACATACATACTACATACGTACTACATAGTCAGCCGCACCCAGGCCGGTCATCATAGCCACGCCCCAGCCACGCGGCCCACGGAACTGCAGCAGGGCTTTGGCAGCGTTGCTTCTGCTGTGGTGCGCCAGGGACCCCGCCCGGCCTCTGAACCACTCATCTCCCCCCACGTGCGCCGTCCGCCTCCTCTGACGGGCCAGCCCTGTCGACGCTTCCTGCCCATCCGCTCCAGCATCTGGTAATAGCTGGGCGGCCATGAAGTTCGGCCATGTCTTCAAGCAGACCCTGAGGGACGAAGGATTTCCGCCCGACTGGGTCGACTCGGCCATCTCCTACTCGCAGCTCAAGAAATGCATCAAGAGGCTGACCGACGAGCTGCAGCAAGTCGGCCTAGACCCGGCCACCCTGTCCAAGCTTCTCAAGCATGTCGAGGACTACAATGCCTCGACCGAGCACCATGACGACCAGGAACGGCCCTTTGAATACATTCTCAATCCCCACGGCTCCCATGGTGACGACGCCTCGCAGTCGCCAAAGGCTTTTCACCCAAAGCTCCTCTTCTATGTAGACGAGACGAGCGGAGAGGTCATGGGCGCCAAACTTGACAATGAAACGAGAAACAAGCTGCATCTGCTGGCCGTTGAGACGGGCATGTCCGACATGCGCGTGCTCGACGACTCCAACTTGCCCTGCCACGCTGCACACACGCCCGAATCGCCCACGACTGCAAACGCGCCCGGCAATCGGCCTGGCTGTCGGACCGTCCTAGTGCCAATCACTTCCGATACGGAGTTCTTCACTCGTCTCACCAGCGAGGTCTCTGGGCTCGAGAGGCTGCAGGAGCGAGAGCAGAAGAGAATGAATGTTCAGATTGAAGCTCTTGGCAAGCAGGTGGCCAAGTTGACGGACCCCGACCGGCGAACCACCAGGAAGATGCTCACCACCTGGCGCAAAATCTTTCAGATTTATGTCGAAGAGGGCATCTTCTTTGGAACAACGGAGCTCGATCACAAGTCGCATGATTCGGAAAAAGCAACCGCACGGCTCGCCATCTTTTCCAACAAGATTGCCAAGGCCGGTCTTGTTGAGCAACTGAAGAAGAAGGACAACTTGGCGGCCCTCAATACCTTTATGCACATTAATCGCGAAATTCTGCAAGGTCTGCGATTCGGCGAGATTAACCACAATGCCATGATCAAGATTTTGAAAAGTATGTCATTTTCCCCTTGTCCTTTCCTGATTTGACAAGCTTGACTCAAATCAGAGCACGACGATTACTGACTAATGTTTTCTTCTTTCCCTTGCAGAATTCGACAAGCGTACCGCGCTAGGGGTAAAGTCCACGTTTCCGCGTCAAGTCGAGTATCCAGAGTTCTCGGAACACCTAGCCAAGGCGGTATGCGCAGAGGTCAACACGCAGATTCTGTCACACGTGCCGCAAATCGACGACTACTCGTGTCCAATGTGCATGGAGATTCAATGGCGGCCTGTCAAGCTGAGCTGCAATCATACATTTTGCATCCGGTGCTTAATTGTCATGCAGAATAACAAGCAGTACAACTGTCCATTTTGCAGGCAAAGGACGATATTCCATGCTAATTCTGGTGAGTCTTGTTGATTTTGTTGATTTTGCTGTTTTCTTCTTTCTTTTGTTGATATCAAAAACTAATCCAGTCATTAACCCCCCATAGACAATCTAGACACAGAAAAGGCGGCCTTTCTTAAGAAATGGTTCCCCCAAGAAGTCAAGGACAAGCAGCGGTACAATGAGAAGATGGCCGGTGTGGACCAGTATGGCGAGGTGTATGCCAATGAAAAATGCAACGTCATGTGAGGAGACAGGAGAAAAGCAACGTGTGATCTCTACACCCGTTGTCTAGCAACAGGGGTTGCTGGGTGCAATGTTTCACACAAGGTATTCGACCGACTTGGGCGGTTTCATTCTTCTTTTCCCATTTTCGGCCTCTGACTTCCCCTTCTGGCATCAAGATACCCCCTTTTTATTTCTAACATTTTAGACTATCGGCAACAGTAATAGACTTTCTTTGTTTAGCATATAGTTTCATGCACATCACCATCGTCAGCAAACCTCTGTGCCTGCAATCATTCGCTTCACCTGGCTAACCAACGGCATAAGCAGTGTTAGATGGCAAGTATGGGATTGAAAGAGTGAAAAAAAAGTTGTAGTCGATGCGTACTACAGACAAAACAGCGATGGCTGATTTACAAGGACAGGATGTGTCTTTGTTTCCTGTTGACCCCTACCCTAGAAATATCAAAACTCCGATTCAAGATGCAAACTAAGGAATACGCTGTGTATGTATGTATGTGTGAAAGGGAGAGAGAGTCTGAGAGGGCGTGACAAAACAATAAAGAGAAAAAGGTTTGCCAATTAGAGGCTATGTATCATACGAAGCGATAATTGGAAAAAAAAAGGAGAGAGCAAAAAAAAACCCAGGTCTATACACTGCGCTCGGGACTTTCACCCTCAGCAACTACAGCAACACCTAAGCCACGATCTGGAGACTGGAGAACCAGCTGTTCGTGCCGTCTGGCGCGAATGAAGTCCGACACACTCTTGATCAAGATGAACCAGCCAACAATCATTAGGCCATAGGCTACCCAATCACTACCGGTAATGGCACTTGACGCAGGCGTCGAGTCACCACCAGAGCCGGCAGAGCCGCCGGTGCTGACCTTATCCGGGTCAAAATCATGCGAGTTTGGATCGCTTGGGACGCCGCCGTTGAAACCTTGGCCTGGGTTGTCGTTACTGCCGTTGCTGGGGTTGAGTACTGCAGAGCGGAAACCGAAGCCAAACTGCACAAGCGTGATGCCAAGACCAGCACGGGAACCATTCTTTGCAGCGTGGGTGGTGTGGAGCAGATAGGTAAGCAGGAAGCCAACGAGTTGGAAGGACATGGAAATCATGGCGTTCCAGAGGAAGCTGAAGAGGGAACCGACGGGAAGGCCCTCGACAAAAACTTCGTCGCCAAAGGTGCCGGGGGCGAGGATGGTTGTTTCCCAATATGGCGGTGTTGCATCTGCGGCGGCTTGTTCGTATGTCTGGAGGAGTGTTAGTGGGGAATGGACAAATTGAGATGGTGATACACAAGACGTACGGGAGGCTTCTCCTCGGCATCCTCACCCCGAGTGGGCTTTGCGCTGAGATTTGCCCACACGCCGCCATTGCCACCGCCGTAGACGCGGCCACTGGTGGGAGCCTGTGTGTTGAATACGGGCAGTTCGGTGACCCGTCTCTGGATGCCGGGGACTGGAGGCTCGTCCTCGCTTCGGGGGTTTCCCCGCATCAAGCGCTGTCGATCGTCGCCATTGTCATCGTCGTCGTCGTCTGAGTCGGAATCAAACGTGTCTGCGAGAGTTCGGTCTTCATCGGTGGGTGCCGGGTCCTGTGCTAAGAGGCGTCGTGAGGTTCCATTGGGGGATGATGCGCGCGAGTGAAAGGAGGGTGGTGGCGAGGCCGGGGGCCACTGCTGAGCCGATGTCGACGATGCGTGAGAGTCATCTTCGTCCTGGGCGGCTACCTGAGGCCTGTGTTAGTTTGGATGTCGTGAGAGCAACGAGCCGGGGGTGTTCGCGCAGTGGCACGATGCATTCCCCACGACCTGAGGCAGGGGAGCATACCCTCTCGTAGCGCTGGCTGGGCATGGTGTGCAGCAGGCAGACGCGGTGGCGCAGGGTCGGATGCAGCGATGAGGAGGCGTAGGGGGCAGTTCTGGTGTTGAGAGTCGGCAGGCGCAGGTGGAGGAGGAGGAGAGGAGCAGGCAGCGAGCGTGACGAGTAGACGGAGGGCGGCAAAGCAAAGCAGAGCAGAGCAAAGCAAAGCAGAGGCGTGTCAGGCGGCAAGCGCAGCAGTAGAGTGAGAGGCGGCGTTTCAAATGCACCGCGCCCTGCCTTGTCTCTTCTGGGCTATGGAAGTGCGGGTGCTGCGCCACGCTGCCCCCCTCTCTTTGCCTGCACAGACCCGCTGCTCACGACCCCGGCTACCAGAGAGAAAGCATCATCGATGGCAAGATTTGCACTTTGACATTCACCCAACCCAACACAACTCGTTACACACCGACTCGACTGCTGCTGCACTGCATTGTTCCATCTCTCTCTCTCTCACACATAACCATGGCAACAACAGTGAGTTAACCTCCCCCCAACGCCGTCACGTGCCCACAGCTCATCGTTTCATTGCAAGATAGCAAAGCAATACACGCGCCTCCTCACTCTCTGGCCAAAGGACGCCCTGCGCCCAAACCTGCCCTTCACTCGCGTAATTGAGCACCGCAGCCAGCCTTTCGGTGTACAGCCCATCACTCCGCCCTCCGACGACGCCCCCAAGTCACAGTCGCCAGCAGCCACAGCCACAGCTCCAGCCACTCCTTCACCCCCACCAAACCCCAAACTCGAACAGGCCCAAGTAAACGCCCTCTACTCGTTGCTCGAGAACAGATACACCATAAAGTATGCCCTGTCACCAGCCATGTTCAAGCCCACGTCCTCCCCCGACCACTACACAAAGCTGATGGAAGAAATCGACCGCGCCCCCAACAAGACGTGGTGGCAGTCCAAGGTCGACCAGTGGAAGAACAAGATTCGATGGTCATGAGAAAAACAAGCAGGGACTGTATTATCATACTGTACAACAATACAAGAGACGGAAGAGGGTGCTGGCTTGGCTACGGTCAAGGCCAAAGTTGGTGGCCATCTCTTCCCCATTTATCTTTATCTTTACCTTCGCCATTACTCTCGCTTTCCCTGGACCCGGAGTCGGCTCATTTCTGTATTGATTTTCTTCAATTCTTTCTTCAACCTTCGCCATCACCAGCCGATCACCTCGTGCAACTGGGTGTATGACAAGACTCTCTCCACCATGATCACCCAAGACCCGGAACCAGACTCAAACATGAAGCAAGCATAGATACCGAGTACCACCTCCTTAGCAAATGCTACGTGATGGGCGAAAGGCTCATGGACAATGGCTTCAAGAACGCCATCGTAGATGCTCTCGTCGAGGTGAGACCCTTCGGTAACACTGGAAATAGTTGGGAACCAAGCGTCAGTAAACTTCCCATCAAATACACGGGTACTCCCGAGCACTCACCAGCTCGCCGTTTGATGGTCAACATGTGGCAAATACATCCAGACAAGAGTGAGGTCACTGTTCTGCCCCAAATGCCATCTGCATTTGTGAATGGTTTGGCCGAAGCTTTCATTGAGACCAAATACTCATTCGATATGTCCTCTGTCAGGCTTGATCTGAGGCTCTATTTTGATGCCTGAATATTTGGGAAATCGTATGCAGCAAACTGAAAATTGTTTGCCAAAGACTCGCTTATCACCAGATACGCCCGATGAGTCTACAACCATTGGGCATTTTGTATAGCTGGGACGTCAATTCAGGAAAGCCTTAGGCGTTGGAATAATCAAGACATCTAAGACTGGGTCAGCGAAGCTGTGCGGATAAATATGCATTATGTCAGACTGCTAATGTGGTGTCCTATCGTGATGAACATAGGTGGCCTTTTTCCTCTCTCTTCTCTTTTGCTTTCCCTGCTGTGGCTTGACTTTGGTAATACTTTATTATGAATATTTCCATTTGAGACTTAAATCATGGCCCAGCAATCTACTCACAGGCTCACATAATAAAAGTACAGTACCATACAGCAGCAAAGCAACATATCCCAGCTTGAAGACTTAGCCTCCTATTTGAATATTCACCGCCTGCATATCGACTACGCATGCATATCAAACCAGATAAACCAAATAGCTAACTCTTCTTGTAGTGGGAGTGGTAGCAAGGGAACTTCAGTCATGGTAAAAGTCATCAAATGAAATATTGGTTACAAGGAACTGTCACGTACCAATGTTAGAATCTTTTTAGTAATTCTCCTTAACGTCTTGTATATACCCTCATCTCTTCCATCATATTTTTCTAATTTTCCTCTTCGCTTTGTAGGCCAATTTAAATCAAGGTCTACATTTGACATTGTATATCATATTCCCTTGAGCTTAGATTCGCCTTCCTTCCTCTTTAGTATATATATTGCACAGGACTGTTTTTCTTTTACATGTCCCATCGCATCTCTTATATCATCCTATTCATAGCAATCTATTTGTAAAGCTGTGTATCCTTTCTCCAAACATATCTTCCTAGGAGGCCAAAACTTTAATCCCTCAATCTCCTGATACTTTCCATTGTATTCTTGCCCACCCTAAGATCTATCCTATCCATCTATATGTATAGCTCGACACCGGCCTTCTAAGATACATACATTAATGTGAAACATGCTGTAATTTAGTAGAACTATCAGATACAGCAGATACCAACAGTCTCCAACTGCGTCCATTGACACCGTAAAGCGCTAATTTGAACAACATGTCTGCGATGCCGTTCCCATTTATAGCCTGGAAGATGTGGTCCATATCTTCTTGCAGCCATCGACGAGTTTCCAGCTCAAGTCCTAATTCTGATAGCCTCACTGATATATACTAGGTTATGGTTAAACTATTCGCAAGTCTCTTTACAAGGTCCCTCCATTCAAGGCATTACCACACTGAATTCTCAGATAGCGAGCGTGTCCATGTTAATGAGAACAGTATACCGTCCTTAGCCCCACGGATCTTAATGTGATCGATGTATCCCTCGTCACGATACTGTGTAAATGAATCGTCGTTGGGATATTATATACACCGAGGTGTCCACTTCTGTTTATCCCTCGATACATGGGATGGTGGAGGGGAGTAAGCGATAGCATGTATAAAAAGGAACTAAGCATGGCGAACTGATGGAAATCCATACATACATAGCTGCGTATGCTTCTGCGTTATCGAAAAGGGCCGCGTAGCCGCACTGGGATTCTCCAAGTTGTAACTGGTTGATATGTTTGGTTGGAGCGAATGGTCGCGATAGTGGAACTTCCAGACAGGTACCCAGTGTGGCAGAAGCACGGTAATAGATAAGGGAAAAGAACATACAGCCAGAAATATACCCAGGTTAGTAGATTGTTGTAAGCAAATGTATTGTTGGAATGTACATATACCAACTAAGATCGGTAGTTGATGCAACTGATTTGGCCCCTCCAGCGTGAGCTATATCAATAACGGGTAGAAGGAGAAGGGGGGCATAATTGTAAGAAGAGATGTTTAATAACGAGAATATTGTGGGGATGAGATACGTGAGATCATATTGATGAGAAGGATAACCGAGGAACATGATATGTATGTAAACGCATTCGTACGCTATGCGGTGCTGCTTGTTCTTAGTGCGACTATGGTTCGCTGGGTTGCTGCCTATGCTGCTACAGCTGACGACTCATCAATGAGCATACGTCCATTAGCAATCTGTATCATTGGTACAATATTACGTAGAGATCGTACCGAGATTCCAAATTGAACCTCTCCTAGAAAACACGAAGCCAAAGTCGAAGCCCAAGTCGAAGCCTTGACTGCAAAGTCCTCATTTCCAATACGCTGACGGTTGCAGGCCAGGAAACAGCGGGCCACCTTTTACAAGACACCATATGCCGATAGATTGCAAGAGAACCAGATTTTCTTTGGTGCAGGTACTCGAAGCAACATATTAGAAACAATCGTAATGCAGCATCACTCTAGCCCCTGAACACTCTCAAGCGACTTGAGCAGGCCCTTTTGTATTACCAAATACACCGTTCCTAACTCCCAAGGTAATGCTGAACAATTCAACAGCCCTCATATGCCTTCCGCCCTATTCATACACATGTGCGCTGACGGTCGGCGTCCGTACTTCTGATAATCTGAAAATGCCATCCAGTTCGAGGTGGGTGTACCACTTTCCGCGAGAACTGAGCCTTCACTATTATTCTTAACTTTGCGCATCATGCTGGGATCGATTGTGCATACTGTGATGAAACCATAACTATTCAATAGAATATATGCTAAAGCCTCCGGCTTAATTAGAAATCTTTTGCGAACAAAATGTTTGACCATTCAGTCCGAGACTAAAGTTGAGGACAAAGTGATCAATCTCAAACATCTGCTCAACAATCCCATATATTTGGTCACCATTATTATATTGAGTCCAGCAATGAGTGTCGCTTTGTGCATGACCAATGGTTGCAACGTGTCCAAGTAGATATGGGGATTTGGGTATAACTGCGAGGAGGACATGCTGGCTCTATGTTGGTGGCGAGCCGAGGCAGAGTGGTGCAGTCAGTGTACAAGGCATCGGTTTTATTAACTGTGATGATTTCCTGGTTGTCTTCAACATGAGTCAAATTGACATTACTGGTAGTAGCTGCTGGATAAATGCAAGTCAATGTAGGCGCGGATGCTGTAGCTTTACAAGCGGCGAAAGGTTTTGTGAACAGGCTAGTCAGAGATGATATTGCAACATCATCCCGAGGGGGCGAATAGATGTCACACGATATGGTAGAGATGGAAAATGGAAAGGGAGTGCATGGTCGATGTGGTGAGATAGGGCAGAACAGACGGCGGTTTTGTAGTATATCGAACCACTTGCTCGCAGCAGCGCGTTGCAATGATTGAATCGTTGCGTCAACTGCGGTTGGCTAATACAGAGAATCCGCAAAGTGCAATTCAGCTCAGTGAAAACACAAACCTATCGCAGATGGGTCAACACTCAGCATCACTGTCAAAGCCACAGCTGTTCCACATGCATGCCACTTGAGCAACTGGATCTCTGAGATGACGAAAACCTCATGTTCACATCTAGGTCCGCGTAGGAATATCAAGTCCTTGCGCAGATGAATGTATTCTCGACTTGCCTCTAAATAGCTGATGAATATCAAGCTGAACAGAGACCGTGGATTTCATCCTGGTATGTACAGTGATACTCCGGTCCCTACTTGGTCTCGTGCTCGGGTGTGATGGCAAAAGTAGGTCGAACAAATCTGTATCCGCACAGTTAGCCAATGCTCGTGCAAGCGTCACCAGTCTGTTCGATACGTACCTGTCGCTGTTATAGACTTTTGTCTCTGTGCCCAATAATTCCTTCTCCCTAGCCCTGTCGGCCAGATATCTTCGCACTTGGTCGCGGTCTTCCTCTGCTTGTAGTGCTGGAATAAGGTGTATCCGCGCCCACATCTTCTCGCGCGCGAGTTCGCTGTCAGATGTCAGCATTTCGTCGCGAACCATGTAATCGCCAATCTATGTTTTCAGAGGAATGCGTCGTACTTGTGCTCCCTAATACCCTGACCAACCCTCCAGAATCCGTATGTCATGAGTGCCGCGGTTCCGATAATGTATGCGGCTGGACGGAAGCCTCGAACAGGCAAGTTGCGCTTGTACTGGACGGGGCTATAGCCGCCCTGTGGCGGCATATCCTGCGGCATGATGGGCGGTCGCGTTCGTGGTTCAATTGGTGTTGGAAGGGTATCGTGAATGCGGAGACGTCAACTGAGGTTCCAGCTCGGGACACTGGCATGACCAGGGCGTGGCTTGGCGCGCTAAGATGTGAGCGAGCATAATTTTGTCGACGATGAGTGGGTGGGCGTCTTTACGACAAATTTTCAGCCATTTACTAAAGACTGCAAAAAGATGGGTTCAGAGGAGCGGCCTACAAAGATGCGCAAGTTGGACGTTGCAAGTGGTGATGAAATGATCAAAGACGCACCCGCAGTCACGACACCCACAGAACATGTCTTCACGAACAGCGAGAATAAGGGAACAGTTGGCAGCGCTGAATCTTCAATTGAAGCAGCTGATGAGAAGGAAAGTGGAGAACCAAAGTTATCGAAGAACCAGCTCAAGAAGCAACGGCGGCACGAACGCTGGGAAGCGGGGCGAGAAGATCGTAAATTGAAGCGAAAAGAGAAGGTCAAAGAAAAGAAAGAGCGGCGAAGAGAGGCTTTGGCACAGATGCCAGTAGATGAAAATGGCAACAAACCAAGGCTGGTAGCTGCGCGTCCGCCCAGACATTCGGCAGGACCTGGAAAGCAAGTACCCATCACCGTCATCTTCGACTGCGACTTTGAGGAGCTCATGTTCGACAATGAACTTAAGAGCTTGGGCTTGCAGATTACGAGATGCTACAGCGACAATCGAAAGGCAGACTTCAGAGCGCATCTAGCACTAAGTAGCTTTGGGGGCAAGATGAAGGAGCGTTTTGACGGTATACTCGCAAAGCAGTACACCAGCTGGAAAGGCTTCCGATTCTTTGAGGAAGACTTTGTTGAAGTGGCGGAGAAGGCAAAAGAATGGATGAGTGGACCAGAAGGAGGGGAGGTGGCTGGCGCATTGAAGATGTCTCAAGAAGCGGATAAGTCGGGTGAAGAAGAAGGCAGGGGAGATGCAGAGGAGGGAGAGATTGTCTACCTTTCATCTGAGTCGGACGAGACGCTAACACAGCTCAAGCCAAACAGCACCTACATCATCGGGGGTCTAGTGGACAAGAACCGGCACAAAGGCGTCTGCCACAAGCGAGCTGTCAGCCGTGGCATCAAGACTGCAAAGCTGCCTATTGGTCAATATCTGGAAATGAAGAGTCGACAAGTCCTGGTCACAAATCACGTCTTGGAGATTATGCTCAAATGGATGGAGTTTGGGGATTGGGGCAAGGCCTTCATGTCTGTCATGCCAGAGAGAAAAGGTGCCAAGTTGAAGAGTGACATGGAGAATGGAGACGGTACAGGGGCTGCTGCAGACGTCGGGAAAGAGGTTGGAGATTGTGGGCTTGCGGATGCGGCGGAAGAGGCAGAAGCAGTGAATGAGCAGCTGATGGCAGAAGCGGCTAAAGCGACATAGGGATGCTCTATGGAATCAAAACACCTGGCATGGTGTGGCACGTGGATAGAGTGGGTTGGCACACATCTGGGGGCCAGTCAAGGTAGTAGTCAAGGCAAAGGGGTGTATTGATTGCACTGCATGCTGCCAGCAGCGGGGGCAACACGGCCGGCCCTCAAGGCCGAAGTGTCGACCAGGTGAAGTGACAAGTGAGCGAGTACGGGCATGTCGTCGAAGCATGGCTATGCGCGGTTCCGGGCCTATGGATTTGCATGCAATGGCCCCATGCAATGCAAAGGGCGTGCCGATTCCCCATGGACGGCCCAAGGTCAGCCTTAGCGGGTAGCGGGAACCAAGCTTTCCGCCGGCCGACTAGCGCGCCCTGACAGCTACACATCAAGGAAGCAGAGAGGCGCGCAACCATTGAGCATGCATCGCCGTATCGCAGCCCGTTGTCACTGGCCTCCAGCATAGCTCCCAACATGTATCAGCCCATGTGCATCGCCCACGACGATGCTTATGTAACACACACGCACACGCACCCCCCTTGCCCGCCGTGTGAGGCTCCAGACAGCCGTCAGCCCACTAGTTTCCGCAACGTCACAGCTGCTCTGACCTACGCCCGCCCCAGCACACCACTTCCAACACTTGACCCACATTAATCCAGGCACACTGCTACAATTGCTGCTAGCCGCCAGTCATGTCGCATGCACAAGAAACCCCGTCGTCTCCACCCTTGCGCTCCTCATCCTCCCAAACATCGCCGCCACCAAATCGCGCCTCGTCCTACTTCACATACCCAGTCTCGTATGCCGTCTCGGGCATCCTGCGCCGCTTGAATACCGAATCCAGTCCCAATCCAGCACCCCACTCAAAATCCGACAGCAACAGCAACCGAAACAGCATAGGCAGGCTACCGGCACAGCTGCAGTCCACTGCTTCTGCCCTCTCCCACTCGCTCGCGAGCCTCGTCTCCTCCGATTCCGCAGACATGAATGCCGTCTTCCAACCCACACACCGCATAGCGAGCCCTTTCCAACCGCCGCCCTTGACACCGCTCAGTCTAAACGGCTGGAGAAGTGGAATGCGAGAGAATGGCAAGCTCATGAGCAAAGCGCTGGCAGAAGAAATTAGGCTGCTCCTGCCCCCAAGGCTACAACTCGTAGATGAATGGAGCCTGGCGTACAGCCTGGAGCAGAATGGCGTGAGCCTGGCCACTCTGTACAAAGAGGCTGATGAATACCGGGGGAGGAGAGGCGGTTTCGTGCTTGTGGTCAGAGATGGTAGTGGAGGCGTACGTTGCCCAGCATTCCTTGAGTAAAAAAAACAGTACTGACATGTTGCGACAGACCTTCGGCGCCTATCTCTCAGACGCACCCCATCCCTCTTCGTCGTTTTATGGCAACGGCGAATGCTTTCTTTGGCGCGCTCACGTTCTTGCTGGTCTCCCAGATTTGCAATTGAATCTCCCACCACCACCCTCGGAAGATACAACGAATGCTGTTCGCATGACGACCATATCATCACCAAAGACAAAAGCCGATAAGTTGGCCCTATCAGAAAATGGCCAGGCGACCAGAAGTGGCGCGAGCACGCCAGAGAGAATCAGATTCAAGGCATTCCCGTATAGCGGAGTGAATGACTATATGATTTTCTGTGAACATAGCTATCTTAGTGTTGGTGGAGGGTAAGCTGACATTTCTTGTCCACTGCAAACGGCAATACTGACAATATCTCAGTGATGGCCACTACGGCTTATGGCTAGACGACAATCTCGAGAACGGTGTGTCGGACACATGTCCAACATTTGGAAACGAACCACTCAGTGACGAGGGCAAGAAATTTGAGGTCCTGGGCGTCGAACTCTGGTACATTGGTGTCTGAACCTCGCTTCGACTTGTCTCTACTCAGCACAATGTCTGGTGTGATCCTCATACTGGCAGCATCTTGACCCAGCGCATGAAAACCGAAAGAGTCTTTCATGGCTATGCAAGAATTGCGGAAGTTCTACCATCTTTCGTTGATCACCTAAGGCAGGAACTATAAGATACCCGATGAAATGTTTTGGCTACCATTCATCAACTTTGGCTGGATCAGCATATGCGTATCGTTATTGGTACTTTTGATTCTCATCTATTGTGTTGCACTCTCTCAACGCATGCGACCATTGCCCGATCCTTACTACAACCTGCGTGTGTTACGACAGTGTGTTGGCTTCATGACCTCGGTTGTTATCATCACTGGTACTAAACGCTCATCATGATCGCAATAGCTTCCGCTATCACCCACCAAGACAGCCCCTGCAAGAGCTACAGTGCAACAGAGAAGAAAGGAAGTTCAATAGACAAAGCTTTTGTTCATGCAGTCGACAACTGCGACTTCAAACTCCTCTGAGCTTGGAAAGTGTCACACAGATTTCATGGCGCTTACTTTGAAAATCCTGTAGTTGCTGAACGGTTGTCTTCTCTTGCAGAGTTTAAGAACAACTGTTTCGATTCAGCCTACAATACTTGTGTCCTTCAAGAATGCAGCATACATTCTATGAGTGATTTTGACATGGGCACATGACTTATGAATGGAAGTGCTGAAGATCTATTTAAAGATAAGAAACATCTTTCGGCATAGTTGATTGAAAAACAAAACTCAGTTCACCGTGATCAGTCGTACTACCAGCCTGGTGCCTTGGCACACCCCGAAAGCAGTAATTTGCCCCTGTGATCTTCATGCAATGGTCTCACCATGAATCTCGATTCACCAGTACAAAATCATCTGCTAGTGGTCTCACTTTCACATCGTCAGTTCGAATATAGCTTTCCCCAAATCATATACTCTGTTTCTTTCCACTCCCAGCTCTCATCATCTACGGCATTTCCACCTACAAAGATGACGCCAACCAAGGCTCAAGACACTCCCAGCAAGCTAGAATCAATCTGGTATTTCCGTTAATATTTCTGCCACAGATCCATCGGATGCTGATGTCTATAAGTGTCGGCAACAGGATTGTTCACTTCAAGGTCTCCAATATAGAACGACGCTTCAGTGTCCACGAAGGTACTCAAACTCCATCATGCCAGAATCTCGTATTCAAGCTAATTTCTTCCTAAAATCCAGATCGTATATGCAAGACCTCAAAATTATTCAAAGACCGTCTCCAAAAACGTCGCAAACGCATGTTCCCAACCGACGAATGCTGCATCTGCACCGATACTCTTGATCCCATCGTCAAAGATATTTCCTTCTGCACCAACTGTGGCCAAAATTTCCATGAATCATGTATGGAGACCTGGAAGAATTATAGAAGAACCCCTAGGAGAAAGAATTCCCCAGCAAACTGTCCAACGTGCCGCGCCAGCTGGAAGACAGACTCGCCCTTGTCCAATCTGAATGTAGAGACTGAACTCGATGCCGAAGCTGTGCAAATTTACATGGACTGGGTATACACATCTGACTTAGAGACTCCGGCAGTGATTTCGCTGGAGACTGACGCTTTCACCCTCATCACGCTCAAACTCTGGGCTGCTGCCAATGCCTTCCAAGACCGTAGGTTCAAGTTACATGTCCGAAATCTATTATTCCTTCGACCTGACGCATTCCTTCGAATGGAAAGTGTAAACTTGGCTTCTGTGGATCGGGAATCCTACGACGAGATTCGGGAGTTCTTAAGGCGATGGGCCCAAATGATCAAAAGAGAAAGCCTGTAAAGCGCTTCATTAAGGCTAGAGATACTTGAAAGGAGATGGTCGAAGCATTGATCCCCTCAAAGGAAGTGTAGGAAGAAGTTTTGGTGGAGGTGTATACGCGTTGATTACATCTTCTTTGATGACCAACTCATGTATCGTAAAGAGACGAAATTGTGTCTTCTCCTTCTAACTGAAAGTAATACAATTCACAGATTTTGTAGCAGCATCGGTTGACATGTTCTCACAATCTTTAGCTCTTTATGATCATATACTCGAAAACCAGATCGAACATCATCCTCGGGTTTAAAGTAAATGGACAGGATGCTGGAGAGATTGCCGTACATACTTGGCACAATTGTTTCTAAGTTCAAAAAAGACGTGCATGGATTAGAGCTTCGTGCGGTTTTATAATGTGGATTAGTATCGTCGCCTAAGACCATTTCAGGATCTTGCCGTGGCTCAGTTCCCTATATATTTTCGAATTTCCGCTCACAACTAGACACTCATCTCTTATATTGACTTTTGTTTTCTCTTCCCAGTCTTTTGCTTTTGGTTCACCGCTGGTTGTGGTGATTGCTTAGTCTCACCTTCCCAAAGAAGGTGATAGTAAGATAAAGTTCGACTGCGTTCAGTGCTTTCTCAGTCTCTCCAGGCTCTGTAAGATTGAAAGCAATCGGTTTTCAGCTTTTGCAGCATAGATTCTACTTTACTAAATCGAGAGGAGTCGGCACACTCACCAGCAGATGCTCAGCTCCCTTACCTGCAAGTGCGAAGGCTCTTGATCTTGTTGCCACTGAGGTATATAAGTATTGTCTCCATCGTACCTTCCTTCCTTCCACCTTTCGACCACTTGCCATCTTCGAAAATTTGCGTATGCCGTATCAACCCACAGACTTCGGTACCGAGGCGTTGCACCATCGTTGTGGAAAAGAGATATCTATTCAGTGCTAAGCAAGAACCATGAAGTAAGTAGAAACCCCAATCGAGCTATCCAAATTCAACTTACAGCAAATTTTGTCCTATGTTGTTGCAATTTGAGAAAAGTCAAAAATTAATTCTCAGCCAGGCATGGTGAGGGTATTGCGCGATTGAGTTTCCCTGCGTCGACCAAGACATTCGTTGTACACACAGACCTTCTTTGCGCACAATCAAAATTCTTCCGTCGAAAGTTCCAACCAAGAAGACAAGATATCGAGGGCGAATGCTCGATTTGCCATGATGGCCTCAACCTCGATCTTCAAGAGATTACGTTTTGTAATACATGCGGAGGAAACTTTCATCTCAGTTGCATCAATCGATGGAGACGTCGGTCAGCTGAAGGAGAACCTGCACCATGTCCGTTGTGCCGACAAGAATGGATTGCGCACAAACTCGATCAACGGACGTCTTTGCCCGGACTTTGCCCGATTGATTTTGAGATATATTACGATTGGCTTTACACTCGCCGCATCAAACCTACAGTCGATCAAGAAGAAGGAGGAGAAGAAGATAGCGATAATGAAGACAATGGTTTACATGGAAGGGAACGTGCTATCTTTGATCTCGCCAAAGCTTATAAGATTGGAACTCAAGTTGAGGATGAACACTTTTGCACGGATTTGGTGGGTGCGATTGTCAAATTGGCGATCGGCGGACCGGCCGTGGAAGGAGAATTTCTCACAATCTTATATGATGGATACCCAACCCCTCGCTTCAAACAACTAATGGTAGAGTTGTACATTAGCATCATAACGAAAAAGGGAAATTGTAATGAATTTGTCTCATGGGATGACAGACGTTTGGCAAAATTCTTCCAGGATGTTGCAATGGCTTCTCTCGGAATCTATCAGGATGGGGAAAGCAAACGGATCGCACATGAGATTAAGGAGACGATACGTCTAGCAACAGGAGATGGTATGGATGTCGAAGGAACATGATTCCGACCATAATATACATGTAAGGCTCTTAGATGATAACTTGCTTATAATATGCTAATATCCGAAAAATAGCAGATTCGAAGACTCGGCACATCCTTTTATCGTGGGTATGTGTCAAGATCTCCCGTGACGCTAGTAAACTAAACAAGCGACTGGTTGCGATTGCAAGCATACAAATTTCTCCCCCATTTTTCTTTCTCAATCTCGTGCGATCAAGAGCATCTGAGCGGCTTGAAAATATTCTTTGCATTCCCCCATTACGATTTCATCCTCTGACTTCAGCATTTTCTATTTCATGCTCTCACATCCTCCTTCAACACGAAATTTGCTACTCAATCCGCCGGCAAACCATGCATCATATTCATCACTTAATTTTTGGAACTTAGCATTATATAATAAGCTTTACTCTATCAGTATAGTTATCTCCTAATGGCAGAAAATATCTGCGTCATGATTCAACCGCTATCTCGACACCACAATCGTTAGTTTCTGTTTAGTGATGACACACCATTCGTATGAACAGCGTTTAGACAGAAACGTTACAAAGCATCATCTCACGCATACCTTCGTCTCGGCGACATAAAGGTTTCGCGGTCCAGAGATTCGTGTACCATGATGAGGTGTTGGTTCTCGGAACTGGCTACCACAAGCATGACGAGCGGACATTCCATCTATTCTCGGAGTATTTTATTCGCTTGGCACATCAAACTTACAAAGCGAAACAAGACGTTACTTGCAATCAATGGCGGAGTAAAACTGATAATAGGTATCTCTACATCTACACGCTTCTAATGAATTACAGATAACGCCACGCGTATGTATATTTTCAACACCCATAGCACCATCTCGTTACCATTGTCTCATCCTCATCACGCTGCAGTAGCCACAGTAACCGGCGCCGCTACCCTCGTAGCCTGTTCACCCGCCCTAACAATGCCCAAGCCCCTAACGTCCTTGGCTGCCCGCTCCGCACTCGATTTCCAGACCTCTACTTCTTGGCCTCCACGCAGAATACCTACCCTCATCGTTGACAGCAGATTGTGCGCTGCGTTTGAGTGTTCATACACACCCCCGTTGAACACAGCGGTTGCATCTTTCCCAATTACGGATTTGATAAGCGTCCTGCCGCCGGGGTGATCGGCGATAAAAGGCGAGACATCGTGGATGACACCAGCGATGGCGACTAGCGCGGCGCTGTTTGCAGAAGCTTGGGCTTGGAAGTCATCCCAAGAAAGGACGGGCAGTTGGGAGAGCGGGGTACCCCAGTCGAGTGCTGCGCGTTTCTTGTCTACGGCTTTTTGCTGTTGCTGTAGACGGCCTTTTTCGATTTCGTTGGCACGGAAGGTCTTGAGGTCTTGGGTTAGTGGGAAGAAGGGGATTTTAGACATGCCCCAGATCAGCCATTTGGTGGGGTCGTATTGGTACCAGAGGATAGCGTTGCCTGGAATTCGTTAGATATCAGCTCTACTTTTCTTTAGTGGGCAGACTTACGGTAGTCACTAGGGAATTCGTGGTGAAAGTTGTGATAGCCTTCTCCCATGGTAACAAGAGCAGTAAGCACATGATCTCTAGGGCTCCTTCGGTCATCGAATGGTTGCTCTCCAAGATAGTGTGCCAACGAATTGACGCAAAATGTCGCTTGCTGAACAAGACATGCCCGGATTATGCCTGCGTAAACGAGACCTCCCCACCAGTCTCCCCATCCCAAGCCAGCGACTAAGGCAGGAAAGATCCAGGCGGTAAAAATAAGAATCTTGCCATAGTGCTTATGTTGGAAAACAACAATGGCGTCATTGTCCAGATCAGAGATATCCGTACGTCCCTTCACTTTGGGGTCCGTGTTCAAGACCATCCATCCAATGTGGGAGAAGAGTAGACCCCGCATGACCGAGTATGGGTCTTTCATGGTATCGGTCCAACGATGGTGAGCGCGGTGATTGGCGCTCCACCAGCGTATGCTTCCCTGGATGGCTCCGGCTCCTACAAAGGCGAGAAAAAGGCGCAGAGGAAGACGTGCAGAGTAACAACGGTGACTCCATAATCTATGGTAACCGCCTGTGATACCAAAGGCGGTTGTGGCATAGTAAATGATGCTCCATAGTAGTGTGGGACGGGTGAGGGGAGTGGAAAAGGAAAGATAGAGGCCGTAGGTTGGGATGAGGACGACCAGCGTCGTGTTGAGCCAATTGATCTTCTTGTACCAATTTTGGAGGGTTACAGGTTGGGCGGATATATGAGGTTGTGTTGGTGGTGTTGGAGGCACAGCCACTGGTGGGTCTGATGTATCCATCGTGGTGTTTGGTCTCCAAGAGGCGAAGAGCGTGCAGGAACAAGACAGCGTAATCGCGCATGTACTCCAGGTACATACATATATGTACATTCTACCACGTCACCCGGAACCATCCGAGTACACCAAACTATGTTGGCAAAAACGCAGGCAGAAACATGGATACATGTACGTGTCCAGCTCAAGCGTCGGGGCAATTAGTACATGTAACAGCGTGAAAACCGCGCGGCAGCCGCAACGGATTTCTCGGGCGATACGTCGCTATCTCGTGTTGATTATGATTGGTTAGGAGAAAAGAAAGGATTGGTCGATGAAGTTTACATTGCCATGAACGGTTAGCAGCCGGCAGGAACATGGCCCTTTGTCGGCTTATTGGTGACTAAATTGTTCTCTACGGATGCGAATTATGGGCGGTAAGCTTAGCGGGGGACCTAAGGTCACCCATCACATGTCAAAGGCAGGCTTCCCTTGTATGGTGACGAAGGAACATGGCTATCTTCGTGAGGTGATTTGAGATTGTATCCATATCCACTGATGGCCTCGGTTGCGAGAGAGAATTGCCGTTTTCGGTGAGGTAATGAGCAATTCGGAACGCTTGTCGTTCCGAACGTTAAGGGTAAGAACATGGTATCAAGCATCATACACATCTAACACGGCACAGCTCACTCGGAAACATGAGCCAATTGAACAGCAGAACAAAGGGTATCTTTTCTCTCTACTTCTTCGAAGGGACCTCCTCCCACTGCACACCAACCCATTCCTCTACATATCCCAATTCGCCTTCTGGGACGTCGTTGGGTTTGCAGTCCTTACTGCAGACAGCCATGATGATAGTGCCCCATTCCATACCATCGAGGGTCATTTCTTCGGCCTCCAGCTCAGTAATGGCATGTGGTGTCAGCTGAACCTCGAATACTCTGTCTGCACCGCACGTCTGGCAACGAGGGAAACCCGATCCGCCTTTTGAGCCTGTTGTGGTGACTTTGGCATTGGAGGATGGTCCATTCTCTGAGTGAGCTGCCAGAGCTTTTCCAATAGCGTCGCTATCGCTGTACAGCAATGGCTTGCCCTTGAACTCATAACGTAAGACCTGCTCTGCATTCTCGCCTACGCGATCTGCGAACTTCTGGAATGTCCTATCCATGGATGATTCAAAGACCTCCTTATCTTCTTTACCTCCTCCAGTGCTGCCACTACTTTCGCCATCTACCTCCATGCGCACATTCGCTGGGATTGTTGGCGCTGATGGGATGTCTAGTGTCTCGTACTCGGCATCCAGGTGGTAGTGTGGGAACGGTGTGGGGAAGGCAGAGTCTGCTGGCCAGGGCTCGTGTGGCCGTGGAGGCTGCTGTTCAGCAGGAGGTGGGGACGAGATACGCGCCTTGGATGCAAAGGTTTCTGGGAGGGTAGTAGACGCCTCATCCTTGTTCTTCTCGGATGCGATGGCTTGAACAGCCGGTGCCGACGCCGGGGCGCCAAAGGGGTTCGCGCTTCCTGACTGCGAAGAGAAGGGGTTTGCTGCTCCAGCACCTGGCTTTGAAGAGAAGGGGTTGGAGAAAGGGTTTGCAGAGGCTGAAGCGCCTGGCCCATTTTGCACACCGAAGAGCGACTCGCCTATCCTGGCCTGTGGCTTCTCTTCCGGCTTTTCCTCCTTCTTCTCGATTTTGGCAGCGGGTGTCTTGTTGCTGGCACCCTTTGCAATGCGCACGCCCCGGATACCCCTCACACTTCCCTCCTTTCTTCTGCATGTCTTGCGCCGGCACGTCCAGATGTATAATCGCCGCTCGTGGCCAGGGAAGGTATCGGGCATGTCGCCGTTGAGCTCAAGCAAAAGACTGAGGAGACCATTGCAGACTTTACACTTGGCCAGGGCACCTGAAGGGGCAGTCTTGTCATCGATCCAACTCTGTTGCGCGGCTTAGTTACAGACTTTTGCATGTTACATCGGTGCCATGCGTACCGGGGTGCCTCCAAGATGGGAGATGGTGTCGCTCGTGGCCTCGTTGGCGGCATAGCCGAGGAGAACATTGGTCTCGGTGTAGTCGTCGCCGCCATCGGACGAGTCACTGTCATATGGCGGTGCCATTGTGTGTATGTGTGGGCGATGTATGCTCCGCGCGTGTGGGAGAATGATTTGGCGGGGTCTAACTTTTTTGAAGGATGACGCGGGGCTGCGTGGTGGTCAGTGCCCGTCCGTCTCGCACTGTGCGAAATTGAACCCAGCCTGCTACACCAACGCCTCGTCGCTCATCCACACCAACCACCATGGGCGCCCCTTTCGACTTCGCGCCTGAGCGGCCGGATCACATGCAGCAGATCCTCGATGGCCTGGATCGCTACAACCCAGAGACGACGAGCGTCTTCCAGGACTATGTCATGCAGCAATGCGAAAACCAGACATACGACTGCTACGCCAACCTCGCCCTGCTGAAGCTGTACGTGTCTTCTTTCCCCTTCTCTACTCTGCAGCTACAAGATGAACAAACAACCACAACGTTTCCTATTACCCGAGGTGTCGGAGTCTGAATCGCTCCGCCCGCTGAAGTTTCATTATTAGCTCTATCTGACAGCTTCTTCCCCTCCACTGTTGATGCCCGCCAGTTCCGCCATTGCTTGTTGCTAACAACGGTGCACCAGCTACCAGTTCAACCCCCACCTTGCCCGCGACGAGACTATCACCAACATCCTCGTCAAGGCTCTGACTGTCTTCCCGAGCCCCGATTTCTCCCTGGGCCTCTCACTCCTTCCTCCACATGTCCTAGCTCCTCTTTCATCCTCATCACACAACCCAGCAGCTGGCGATGCCCCTCTTTCAGAAGCCGTCCAGAAGCTCAATGAGCTGAGAAACCTGCTTGAAGGCGCTGACTACGCCACCTTCTGGTCCACGCTCGACTCTGACGACCTCTACGCCGACTTGATTGCCGACGTCTCCGGCTTTGAGGAGCTCATGCGCGTACGCATTGCCGCCACTGTCAGTCAGGCAATTCGCGAGGTTGACCGAAGCATCCTCGAGTCGTGGTTGAACCTCTCGGGAAGCGAATTCGACCATTTTGTTGGTAGCGTATGTGGATGGAATGTCGACGGTGCCAAGATTAAGGTGCCCATCAACAAGGACAACGAGGCTAAGGGTACCGTTGTCCGTGAAAACGTCAAATTTGACCGTGAGTTCATATCCATATAGGTTTGGTGAAGCTCTGCTAACATGCGCACAGAATTTGCAAGGGTGATCAAGAGGGCGTATGAGCAGCCAGCATGAGCAATATGATGGCGAACATGATGACATGAGACTATGGATGGCACGGTCGGCGTTAGAGGCGGACATCAGAGCTACATCGGCATGCCACGGCGGCATGCCAGTCATTCTGGATAGCAATGCAGGAATGGCTTGAGACGGCTTACTATATACCCCCCAAAAGTACACCGCCATCCCAGCAAGCAGTCTGTAGGAGGTAACGTGCAAATGATGCGCCATGTCTGGACAAGACACCCGCGTACGAAATACCATTCAGTTTTTCAGCGTACACTCAATCGCCTTTGTCTGGACTTCATCTACGTGTTGTATTCTCACCTGAATACCAGGCGCTATATTATTACTCTAATTCTGACCAAAGCCATATTTCTCTTAACTACACAAGAACGCTCATCACAACTGTCGCAATCGCAAAGCTCATGAACCAAGCCTGCGTTCCCATGTGACTCGCTCCACTGTCCATGACTCCCTTGCCAGTGAACTGACTGGAACTCTTGGTCGTCGCAGTCCCATCTCCACCGTTCAACTGTCCACCTCCAGACACGCTACTTGGATTCGTCGTACTTTCCTGTATGCAAAGCGAAGTTCCATTTCCCATGAACATGCGATCCGCCACACTCTTCCAAACCTCGGTAACATCTGTAATCATCTTGGGTGTAAACCACATCCTGCAGTCTGCTGCTTCGTATATGAATTCTAGCGGCACACCCGACTTGTCGTTGAGCCTCATGTTGTCTTTGAGATTGACGCCGCCTGCAACCTGGCCTCCATTGTACGCAGAACGCTTGAGTAGCTGCTCAACGGCCGCCGTCTTACCAATGTCCATACCGTCCCATTGCTTCTGTTGGTCAGGCGAGCCCAAGGCATACAGAACCTGCATGCGGACAATAATGTCGTCCCAGGCGAATACTTGTGCACCCTTTGTACCGCCGACGCCCTGCATGGGGCCCGTTTGCGGCCTGCCTCCTACAGCGATTGTGCGGACGGAGCCCTGGTTCTTGAGTAGTTCAGAGACAATAGCGCATGTTGACGAGCACATGCCGTCGTGCAGCATCACCATGTCCTCTGCGCGGAATGGTTGCGGCGTGTTTGTTTCATTTGCATTTTCGCCGTAGCCAATGACGCTGAAGCCAGTGTATGATGTGCTTACGCTGTCGCTGAAGTTGTAGCGCAGGATGGGCGTGAACTTGTCATCCTTGATGTCGACCGGGCCAAATAAATCCTGCCAGCTTGGAATGGCTTTGTTGTCTATATTCAGCGTGTGTTGGTAGTTAAACGGCGCTGATAAGGCGAAGACGTCACTGTCAGTCGCGCCTGCACCAAGGGCTTCAGTAAAGGCGGTTCGGTTATTTTGCGCATACGTAGTATTGGCGAGAAAGGAGGAGGTGATGTTTCCAGCGATGTTCAGGGCTTCATTGGCGCGGTACCGTGTTCCGCCATATGGCTCAGCTACTGCTTGTGGATAGACTTGCTTGAAGGTGTCGTAGCCCAAGATTGCGTTGCCTCCGCCATTGCCGCGCAGGTCAAAAATCATCTTTGTCTTGCCGAGTTGCCTAGACATGCGAATGAAGTTACGCATAGTATTTTGGAAGTCTTGAGGACTTTGAGCTTGGTAAGATGGGATGCTGAGAACAGCGACATCCTATCAAAGTTAGACAAGTACAAAGTATAACCGTCAGAGCGTACCTGGTATGCTGGGCCGTCAAGAAAGTAACCTCCAACAGCGAGGTCAGAGTTTATCAGCTCAGCTTTTGGATACCCAAAATGAGAAGGCTTAGGGGCATTTGCGGGAGTTGAAGGGGTCGTGTTGTTGCTAGGAGGTGCTGCGGCTGGAGTTGCAGATGGAGGTTGAGGTCCACTGCAAAACTTTTGGAAAAATGCGCTGCCACTGTCGACACCAGTGAAGTTCTTGATGACTACAGCAACGTTCATCTGCGACCAAGTCGTGCCATTTGCAAACTCGAAAGTGGTATTAGGGCCTTGGTATCGGCCAGTACGGAAAGAACCAAGAAAAGTGGTACCAGAAGCAAGCAGAGCTTGAGAAGGAAACAACGCATTCCATCGAGTATCAGCGTCGTGAAAGTCGGAGGTAGAAGACACATTCGCGAGGTACTCCTGGCTGTCGATGCCGTTGATCTTCCTGATAGCTGATGGTGTGAAGGAAGAGGCATTGTTCGCTTTTAGAACATCCCTATATGCGTAGATTTCTGGCAAGGCCATACCATCAGAAGAGATAGATACCAGTTCCGAGCCAGGTGGCCTTTGGAACTGCATTACCGAAGCCAGAATGTCCGGCTGATAGGCAAAGTGGTTGTCGTAGGCACTGGTGAAGAGGTCCATCATCGCGAGCTGAAAATCGTATTCAGTAGCGAAACCTCCAGTAGCAACTCGGGTCCTCATATTATCGAGCTGTCCCATAATATCGACAGGTTGCTCAGTATATGTGGCGGGTGGTTTCTTTAAGAAGGCAAGATTGGATTGCCATTTGACCATCAACTTGAGATCGTCGATCAGCTGTACGTTTCCTGGCTGATCAATAGGAACTGACTGCAGACATTGCAGGCCAAGTTGTGCAGGGACAATAGGCCGGGCTCCAGAAGGCAGTGCAGCGAGGGCTTTGCCAACGACCGCACATGGTTCTTGTCCTGATGCTGCTGATGACGGAGCCGTGGAGCTTTGAGTGTTCACCATGCTGTCTGATGCCGCGCTGATCTCACCAACAGCCATCATTGTGTCGACATCCGCCTGCGTCATAACCTCGCTCATATCCAGATCAGGATATTCGGGTACACCATACATCCATGGATGAGGATTGGCAGCGGAAAGGCCACACAGAGCACCAGCCAAAAGCACTGTAGATCGCATCTTTCTAGAGACGATCAAGGTTGTAGATCTAAAACCTCGAGGCCTCTAGCGAGAAAAAAAAAGAAGCTTGCCTGACAGCTTGGCACTTGAAGCATACGGTATTAGTATTAAAAGAAGCGTGCCAGCACGAATAGGAAAATGAAAGAATTATAAAAGAAACAACGTCTAAAGGCGCATGGTGACGGCAAACAATCGAGAGGAGCCCAATTGCAATGCACTGGAAAATGAAGGGGACTGGTAAAAGGAGGGTAATAACAGAGGAACAGAAGGACACAGTAAAAACCACACGATGGTGCTGGTATCGTTTCAGCCGCCGTAGTTATCCACCTATGCTTGGCATGTTTCTAACCTGCTTCGCAAATGACGCTAGAGATGGTTAAGCTACAGTAAACGGGCACCATGCTGAAGCTTGACTGAAGACCTAGGCAGTGATGGCGTCGAGGTCGAAGCAAGGTAGGTACGTGCAGAGGTACGTCGACGGATTTGACAGCATGGCGACGACAGTTGTCGAGAAATCAGAACACAATGATGGGATTGCAAATACTGTCCACCGTATAGCGTTGTGCATAACTATGGCCATGAGCCGTGTCCGAGTAGGCTGGATGCTTGCATTGAAGACGCATAGGTGGAGGGATTTGTTGTTGAAACGTTCGCAGCGGCCTGAGACGAATCATTTGGCGAGCCCGAGCTGTTGGCGACAGTGGAGCATGTAGCAACATGCGGATGAAACCGGGAGGATGCAGACTCTCTCGTACTCATACTCGTTGTGCGCTGCATGTCTCTGGGGAATCAGGCGGCCCTGGATGTTCCTGGTAGGCGATCCCGCCGTGTGGAGGCGCTTCCTCGCAGCTGCAGCGCGATAGAGACATGAAACGTCATCGTGACAAGGCGCCATGCTCTTGGACACCCAGCAGGCCGGCGTTGATCATCTGAGATGGACAGGATGGTGACTAAGCGGGGGATGGGCGACGGGATGTGATCGTGATACGCGAGCGGGCCGGTGAATGGACAGAAGATGCTGGCAAGTTGTCGTGGTGCTGCTGTGGTGCTGTCACATGCAGTTTAGCCCCCCAGCGGTGGCTGCATGGCTTGGCAGAGGGGCTTAGACCGCCATGGGGCGCCCCTGTTGGCCGTGTTGGTGCCCAGGTGCACTCGCCACCCTTGGGCCGCTTAATACCCTCAACCACCCCAGGCCACCACCTCTCTCCTCTCCTCCCACAACCACTCCTCTGCTCTGCCTTCACCCCTGCTTCTCCGCGACTTTCCAACGCTCGCCCTCTCCATACACCAGCAGATCGCGCCAGTCGATTTCATGACCACGGACATCCAGAATCTCAAGTCCTTCGATCCGTTCGCGGAGGTCGACGATGCTGGAGGCGAAGTAAAGTCCACCCAGCAGAACTACATCCACATCCGTATTCAGCGTACGTATTTCCCCCTTGGTCCCCAGCTCTGGCATCCTTTGGACACGATGCTCGCACTCGTCGCCGCGACATCGGCTCTGGTCGCCCATCCGCTGACCGGAACCCCCCTGGTCCGGCCCCAACAAATCGCGCAAGGCTGACGTCAATGCACCACAGAACGCAATGGTCGTAAGACTCTAACTACGGTCCAAGGCCTACCCAAGAAGTTTGATCAGAAGAAGATTCTCAAGGTCATCAAGAAGAAGTTTGCTTGCAATGGCACCGTCGTCGCAGACAGTGAGATGGGAGAGGTGATCCAGTTGCAGGGTGATCAACGCAAAGATGTCATGGACTTCTTGACCGACAAGAAGGAGGGCCTCGGCCTTGATGGCAAGACCATCAAGGTTCACGGCTTCTAACCGCGTCGAATACGCTATGCCCACCGCCGCTCCTCACGCCGAGCGACCGCTTCGAGCTAGACGACAACGAGACTCGTACGGCGGAGGAGGAGCATGCCGGCACGTCGGACGCGTAGCACACACGATCCACGCTGCTGAGATGCGGTACGGCATAGCAAGTATCCCGCGGAGAACTGACGGTTTCCCCGTATCTCGATTGCTCTTGGAGCAACAGATGCGGCTATCGCCAGTTTTGCACGCTGATGTATCAGGTGCTGGCAGGATGATGGAGGATAGCTCGTTCAAGACAAACAAGACATTGGTCTTTTAGTCATGTTCAATTAAAAGAGTGTTTTGTTTTACTACGAAATGTTCCACTTTGCGTGCCTACTAACGTTGTGCAAAGGAAAAGGGGGGGGGGGGGGGGGGGGGATCGAGGACAGTATTATTACCAAAGTGATGATGTTTCCTATTCCACGTCTTCATCCTCCACTTCTCTTCCAACACCACCATCGTCCTTCTTTGGCGCCTTGGCCTCCTGCTTCCTATACAAGCTCGCCAACTCCTCGGCTTCCGTCGCCTCCTCGATACTCTTATCTTCCCTCACCCGCAGGAAGCGCGGAAACCTTGTACTCAGCCCACGCTCATCACTCACCAGCCCAATCGCAGCCGTGTACGTAGGACTGAGCGTCAAGTCCGCAAAAGCCACCTCCCACACCTCCTGTGGCTCAAACCACACGGCCGGCGTGCCCGCCCCACCATTGTACTTCACATAGTGTGGCTTACCGGGTAACACGGTAGTCGAGTCGGCATCTCCGGGATCATACTTGGCGCGATTGGCTTTGTAAAAAGCGTCTGTGAAGCCAGACATGCACTTTGTCACTGCCTCGAGCTGGCCCGTTTCTGCATTGCGGATTGCGAGGAGGATTGGGGACCACCATGCTGCTTTTCGGCCGGATCCGTGGAATGCTGCAATGGGGATGAGGTCGAGGGTTTCCGACGTGGTGCTGTAATCTTTCTTCACTTTGAGCCATGAGTCGAGGCGTTTATCGGGCTCGTATGTTGATAGCAAGGCTTTGCGGCGGCCCGAGGCTTTGGGCTCGTCTGTTTCAGCACTGTCTGTGGATTTTGCTTTTGCCTTTGACTTGCTGGGTTTCTTTTTCTTCGGCGTAGGGGGCAGTGAGGGCGTCTTTTCGAGGCCGTGTTCATCTATTTCGGCGAGGAGATCCGGGTTGGGGAGGTTATCGAGGACTTTGACCATGATACCTTCGCATTTGATGTCTAGGGCGCCTTGGAAGAAGGTCTGCACGGCTTCTACGTCGGCGGATGTGGCATCGAGGCTTTTGACCCAGGTGAAGTGGTGGGGGATCTCGACGAATAGGCTTCGAAGTAGCGATCTTCGTTCTCTGAAGGGTCGATTAAGAAGTTCTTCGCCGTTCAGGTACATGAGATCGAACGCGAAGAGACAAACGTCGATTGTCACTGCTCCGATCACTACATCTTTTCTTGCGCGGTTGGCGAGTGTCTGGAACGGCTTGAGGTCACCACTCTCTCGATCAACAGCTACCACTTCACCTTCGAGGATAAAGCTCGACACGCCTTCGCCTCGGATCTTGGGTACAAGCGCCACCAAGTCGGGATACTTGTCCGTCATGACTTCTAGGTGTCGCGAAAATATTGTGACTTTGCCTTTTGCGTCGCAATGCACCTGTGCTCGTTGTCCATCGTACTTGAATTCGCAAGCAAAATCTCGGCCTTGTAGCTTGGTGAGCATCTCGCCCATGTCGCGTGTAATGCTACCCAACATGGGCCGAAGAGGAATGTGAAGGGCCAGTCCGCAACGCACGAGCAGCTCATCGCAGACACCAATCTCAAGAAGCACGGGTATGAGATCGTTGTAGTTTGGTCTCCGGGCAAAGCATGCTTTGACGATTTCCTCGTTCCTGCTGTAAATTTCAACCAGCTCCTCTTTCTTCATTTTCGCCATGTCTTTTCGGTCGCGTGTCTCGAACTCAGCGCCCGGAGGCTTCGACAACATGAATGCTCGCGACAATGCAATTAGCATTGTGGTCTTGACGGCGCCTATGCGTAAATGCTGCACCAAGGTTCGTACAACATAGCGACTTTCTTCCGCACCTCTTGCATCTTGAACTAATCTTTCGACAATTCTCTGCTTGTTTTCAACACTGCCATTTCCCTTGCTATTTGCAATCTTGACCAAAGAGTCGAAAACGCTCTTGATGGTCAAGGGTTTTGGTTTGCGAAGGGTAAATGATTGCTTCTTCTTTGCTTCAAATGCCACATCGCCAGCGTCTCCGTGCTTGCTGCTCAAGGCCTTCAAGCTTGCATTGTCTAATCCGCACACCTTCTTCAATGCCTTGGAGATTGCGGACCCTCCAAGTCCTAGCTCGAGATCAATGTATGGTGGCGATATCGCGTTTGTGGAAAGCCACACAGCCGGAAGTAGGCTGCTTGGGTCGCTCTCGATGATTGTCCGTAAAAGGTTGACAAGAGTATCTACAATCTTGATGCGACTCGTGGTGCTATTGATCAGAATGAAGCATCTTGTCAGAAGAGCATAGGTCGCATGTCCTCCATCTGTTACCCAATGCTTTTTCAAGTCGGGTATGTAATCTGCAGGATCAAATTCAAGCGGGCTCTGGTCGAGGGGTATATTTGCGGTTATTGTATCTTCTTCAGATGCGGTTGATTGTAGCGTAAGAGTATTCTTCTTCGGCGCAGGTGCGAGTTCGGGTATTTCCTTCAAGGCAATGTCACGGGCTGGTGATTCGGATTTTTTTGCGTTGTCGGAACTTTCATTCGCCGCTGTATTCGTAGTAGACTTCTCCGGCTCTTCATACAACTCATTTGAGCTTACAGGCGCCACATTCTGACCCCTTTCGCGATCTTCCTTATCCCATTGTTCCTGGAGTTTACGGGCAAGTTCTTCATCGGTCAACCCCGAGTAATCTTGCTCTGCAGGCGCTCCACCGTACGTAGGATCTGTAGGCACATCCTTGGGTGTCGCTTTTGCCGCTTGCTTTGCGAAGAAGTAGTCTAAGCTACGAACTGGCTTTCCTGACCCATCGTTCTTCTTTCTGCGCTTCGACGGACTATTCATAGTGTGAATGTGTTCCTGCACAATGTGTTGGCAAATAAATAATGTTGTCTCGTGCCAGACGAGTATGGTACGTCATGTCATGCCGCGGACGCTATGACCATGTCAATCTCGACAACACGTGCGCACGCGTCGCGTCACTGCGGCTATCATCGTTCGAGTCTCCTTGACAGCAATGTTACAACTAACACATGACACGATACATCTGGACTACTTGAAGAGTTTCAGAACTTCGGTACCATTACGCTAACATACCACGTATCCCTGAAAGTAGATGTAGACGTTGAAACCTTCATGGGCTTGAAACCTCAAAGAATCCCCTTTGCCTTGCCGTATATGCCCTCACTCCAAACTTGAGCCATGACCATTTCTGCAAAACCCTTCACTGAGTCCTTTCTCTCTCTCTCTCTCTCTCTGATTTCCTTCTACAACTCCTCGTCATAGTTCAAGATGTCTGCCGAGCGAGGCAACTGCTCCGTAGCTCTGCGCTCATATCCACTACGCTCGTACCCATTCGCACCACCATTCCTCGGAAAACGGTTGTAACTACCAGATGCACCAGGAGCATCGCTCCAATACCTCACGAGACCCATAGTGTCGTCGTCCGGACCATTTCTCCGCTTGTCATAGGCCGTGCCCCAGAGTTGAAACTCCCCAGTGTCCTTGTCGGTGTAGCCTTGTTGGCCTTCTAGCTGGGATCCGACGCCGTACTTGACTGTGACATGCTATTATTCATCTGAAGAGTCAAAAGTTGAGAAAGGGATGTCTTACGAAAGAGCTTTGCCGTATCTTTCTGGAGGTCACTGACCAGGTTGCGTACGGCGTTGACGGGGCAGTTGCTCGTGGATGTGCGTAAGAGCTTGGTTTGATTATCTTGGTTACAAGTAAGGACTGCGCCGAACGATTTTGTTTTCTCATCCTCGCCGATCACAATGTCTTTTTCCTGCATGTGAGCTTGTGAGGATTTGCAAGGATGGTGTGGGTTTGTGATACCGTAGAATTTGCCGCGCTCGCTGCCATAGAGAAGGCGACAGTTCCCTAGACTGATTTCCTTTAGGTTATTGACCTTCTCGACCTGAGGCCGTCAGTATAGGAGATACAGTGCTAAGGTAGGCTTACTAGTATGGAGCTATCTAGCCATGAAGTGCTGGATAGGTCGACGCTTGCCGCTTGCATGGCAAGCTCGCTGGGCTCCATGTTGTCGTATTTCCGGCACACAGGAACTGACATGCTTCTTTTAGAGTTTGGTGGCGCTGAACAGGTGGATCAAGTGTTTTATATATGCGTAGGGGAGGGCTAGGACGAGAAGTGACGACAGCGGCTTGGCGATGGAGTGAAGGTGAATTACCGTCACCTCCCCATCTCATGCCTATTCATGTACTTGGGTAAAAGTAAAACTCAAAGTCACCTCCATACCACTCATTTCACTCCCTCTAGAAGCAAGTAAGATCACAGGTCGCCCCCAAGTCCTACCATCTCAGCAACAAATCTCTCTTACCTTCATCTTTTCAGTCATGCTATGTCATTGCCTCTCCATAGAGAAAGGATACAGAAATGCAGCAGATAGTGAAAGACAAAAAGAAACATGGCGACCTAGATGATATGGGGAGCTGGGAATCGATGTTCGTAAATCTGTGTCCATGGAGTCAATGATGTTCTTCTATCGTGATGCCGGTGTTGACGTGGATTGTAAGTGCAAGGAAATGACATGTCCTCCTTTTCTCCCTTTTTTTTTCATCGCCTGGTCAATGAAAACCCCTAAATAGAAGAGCAGCATCGAACTCTGATGACCGCTAGTATATGGACAGCTCGAAATTTGACACAACACGTAGAAAACATTTCTGTAAACTTCTCGCGTTGATATGTTGTCAGAATCTCATGTTCATTGTTTATATGTGGCACTATTGATATCTTCTTTCACACTACCATTCCCACCGTACGCAATCATGACCGCTCAGTGATGCCCGATCACACGTATTAAACCCAAGTCAAAAAAAAAAAAGATTCCAAAATCCAGTCTATCGACCACACACGTTCGCACGTAGAAAAAAAACACCCTAAACACCATCTGCGCAAGGGACGGGGGGAATCGCTGAAGATAGGAGGTAATAAAAAAAGCATCAAAGACCAAAAATACATGGTATGAAAAGATTACATCAGGTTACCTCCATTGCATCGCTCTCCCAATGCAGTACCGAAACACCAGAGACAGAACAAAAGCGAGTAGGGTAAAGGTTTCCCTTGGCGACCAAGGGAAAATAGAACATTGAACGGAGGAAAGAAGAAGCGTCAAATGAAGTAGCGATGAAAGAAAGGACTGGGGTCGAGTTGGAAATCGGATATGTACTCCTAGTCGATTTCAATGACGTTGTTTTGCGTCTGGCCTGGGCGACCTCCACGACCTTGTTGGTGCTGCATGTGCTGCCGTGCGTTCTGCATGTGTTGTGGTTGTCTACCATTTGGTTGCTGAACCCGTTGGTTGGATTGTTGCATCCGCATCTGTTGTTGCCCTTGTTGCTGTTGACGAGCCTGATGTTGCTGTTGCTGCTGTTGCTGCTGTTGCATCCTTGCCTGCTGCTGCTGCTGATTCCCTTGCTGCATCCCATTGGTTTTGGGCATTCCTTGTCCAGGGTTCTGAGCCTGCTGTACCGGCCTTTCGAGCGGTGGAGGTGCGACATATCCACCCTCCATCCTGCAGCTCAACACACATTCGTCTAGTTTGCGCAGTGCATCGGGAATCGCATCCAACTCCACAACCATACCGTTCCTCGTCCCAAACCACCCGGGTCCCTTACTACTGAACAACTCCTTTAACTTTTCTTGGAGGCTATCAAGTCGCCTATGGCCCTGACCACGTTCGGGAGTAGGGAGAACATTGGGATCTTTGGGACGTAGATTATCCTCGACAAACCAGAACACCTGGTCCTCCTTGGGTTGAAGGCGCACATCAAAAGTGCAGACAGGATTCTCATAAGTAATACGATACTTGAGAATGGAGTGAACGTGTATCGCGGGATTTCGATAATTGCCGGGCGACCGTTGCTCAATTTCGCGGAAGACTTTGAACAAGGGGCGCGTGAGGACAAGAGTCGTGCAGAAACGATCCAACCCATTGGCGTCATTCGCATCCAACGACATGAAAGAAGGCAAGCGGTCGTTGGCAATATGAGTGAGCAGATTGAGGATGCGATGATGGGGGTTCTTGGATGACAGTTCGATTGTGACTTCCTTCTCTGAACTGAAATTGACCGTGGCAGTGTATGGCGAGGGCCCATACAGGAATTGAACGCGTTGTAGCGAGGATGATGCAAGGCGCATTCTGCGTTTCTGGAGGGTGGTTGCGAAGCTACGAAGACGGTCAACATCCCGTAATCGTGCACGCAGCTCGCCAAGCAAGTCCTGTCCAAAGGGGGTAGAAAGAAGAATCCTAAAATTGCCATCGTCCGAGAACTTGAATGCCTTTTGTGGTGAGGCAGCCATGAGTTTGTGCATATCTGCCGCAACTGACTTGACCATCTTTCCAGACGCCACGTGCCACACATTCGGCCCACCAACTCGTAGACCTTCGCATGTGATCTTGATATCTGGTTCGAGCCATTTGTCGTGCCTTGTACTAGAAGCGAGAAGGTCTGAAGTTTGCACACGCAGGACCCATCGACGAGCGATGCGTCGTCCTTGTGCGGAAGCAGGTGTCTGTCCCAACTCTTCCTCCAAAGCATACATCTTCTTCTCCTTGTCCAGTTGACGTGCAGTGACACGGAAGGACAATAGTTGTACGGCGACTCTTTCCAGACTTGCCAATGTGCTTCGATTGATTGGCAAGGGACTCTTGTCCGGCCTATTCATCCTGATTTGCTCTGCATGCTCGATGGAATTACCAGTGGAGCCGATTTCAAGGACCCACCATGACTCTCCCGAAGAGTCAATGATGGCTGCAAAAGCCCAGCTTGGCGACCATGCATGAGGCCAATAGAGAACTGACGAGATGACATCTAGCTTGACGGCCGCCTTGACCATTTGCGGAGTTAACGACTGCCTTGCAACCGCTTGCCATCCAAGCTGTTGGGCATTTCTTTGAATCAGACCAAGTAAAGTGCCCGCCAGTACTTGTGTCATGACATGGGCCATCTGTGCTGGCTCCCTACCCAGGTTGAAGGCATTCTCGGCCCGTGCTGATAATGCACTTGCCGGCCGGATAATGTGGTTGCCAGTGACGGGCTCCAAAGACAAGGTGATGGAGGCTGATTTTGTCCCCAGGGTTGCGTTGAGCCTGCAATCTGCCGGTTCGGCCTCGGACAAGTCTGTCTCTGCAAGAACTCCAGACTTGATACTCTCCTTTGTGGATCGCAGTATGTCGCTAGTGTGACGGGCAATAACCAGCTTGATGACTTTTTCCATGGAAAGATTTGTCCAATCAAAGGCAAAGTTTGCATCCTTGACTTCTTTTCCTTGGCGGAACCAGCGAGTGGACAGAGAAGGTATCGGTGGGCCTCTCCACGAGGATTTGGCGTTGCTCAGCCTATTGTTGGAGACGCCGATTTCGATCCAGTTCTTCTTGCCGGGCTTGTTAGTCCAGTATTGCACGACAAGCAAACGATGTACGGGCTCGACCTTGAGGGAACCTGCCCATCCGGCACGAACCAGAGCAGTGGCCTGTGAGCGCAGAACCGAGATTTTGTGCGTTAGCATAAAGTTGTTCAAAAAGTCAAAGAGGCCAGGGAGACCCTTGTGCTTGAGCACAAAATCAGCCTGCTGTTTGAGCTGCATGAAGAAACGGCTTCCGACGGTCACGGTGGGGGCTGGAGTGAAGAGCAATCGCAAATCGATGAGAAACCACTGTTGGGAAGCATCTTCGACAAACGACATGACATCGAATTCTAGTTGGCCCTTGATGGCAAAGGTAACTCGGCCAGAGTGGATGCGCCAGTTGCGGAGGTGTCGGGGCAAGTTTTCGTGGACATTGAGGCGGATGGAGAGGGAAGTGTTCATGTACGTGAGCAGTTTTAGGGCTTCGTCCGAGGAGATTGGCTTGGGAGGGATGTAGTCGAGGCTTGGCATCCAGGAAGCGGTGCCGGTGGAGAGCACTTGGAGGGCAGTGGCAATGTCTGGGTTGTTCTCCCTGGCAATGTTGGAGAGCATCTTGATGCGCTCGAGCTGGTCGTCGGCGGCATCCATGTTGCGGGCGTGCGCGCCGGCCCACGAGAAGATGTCGATGAGCTTGGAGATGTCCGAGGCGGCCTTCTTGCCCCATTCGGCAAGGACCAGCAGCTTGATAAATTTGGAGCGCTGCTCCTGGGCAAACTGGAGGAGCATGAGTTTTTTCCTCTTGTTGGACTCTGCGTTTCCCTGCATGCTGGCCGCGCCAAGGCCGTTTGGGAGGGCGCCGTTGGCCATGGGCGCGACGGGCAGGGCGGCCATTTTCTGCAGGATGGAGGTCAGGTCGTTGTAGGATTCCTGGGACAGGCGCAGCAGCAGCGTCGAGAGGGCGTTGTACTGCTCGGGGCCAATGTGGGCGATTTCGGGCGGCAGCTGCGAGTACTTGTCGAGCGCGGTGGCGGCAGCGGACGCGCCATTGGGGGCAGCGGTGTTGGAGTCGCCATGGCGAGAGGCCGTGGCAGCGTCGGACGCGGTGTGGTTCATGATGAGAATGCCTGGCATGCTACGGCGCCAGAGCAGCAGCCCGCGGGCGCCTTGGCCGCACCCGCTGTGCGCGCGCCTGGTGGCCGTGTGGGCAAGACGGCGGCGCTGCTGGGCGAGGGCGACAAGGCGAGGCGAGGCGAGAGTTGGATGCGACGCGCAGGAGCGGGCGACGGGCGACGGGCGACGGGCGACGGGCGACGGGGCGCGAGGGCGAAGACAACGGAGCGGAGGGCGAGGGCGCGCGAGGGCGACTATGGCATTGCCGGCCGGGGCGGTCGGAGAGGGTGCTGGCGTGGATGGGGCTTCGTCTGGCGGTGGGTGGGTGGGGATGCAAAGAGGGTGAGGTTGACGGCGAGACATCACATCAGCCCTGGCCTGGCCGGGGGGCGTCTTGGCGTGCATCCCAGGGCGAGTCAGGCCGGGCGGTCGTGCATGGGCTTGCCCACGCATGTAGCAGCAGCATGTGTATCAAGCATGTATACATGTGTGTGTGTATGTGCTTGCAGAACACACACATGCATGTGTGTATACATACATGTATACATGCATGCGCATACATGTGAATACACCGGCAATCCCGCATCAGCCCACGGCCAGCGCAGCCATCGTCACACGTCCAGGCAGGCCCAGCAGCGACCATGGGATCGCCCGCTGTCGACCCAACAAGCCCACCCCCCCAGCTGGCTGGCTGGCACATCCACACATGCCTCGATAGCCTCACACACCCTCCTCGTACAGACGCAGCTAGCCTCTTCCTGGCCATTGGGCGGCCGTCGTCTGCTGCGCATTTATCCGCCGCCTCTCCCTTCCCTTCGCAATGTCTCTGTCGCGCTGACGCTCCTCCGCCAATTAGTGTAAGCCCTGCTTGCGTCCATGGCACCGCGCGCGCCCGAGCTTCCGCCCTACCAGCGACCAGCCATCGCCCGAAATGCCTCGTCCCAGTCAAAGGCCTCGGTCCTCTCCATCTCCCAGTCCAACGAGGCAGACGATGAGCAGAGCCTGTCCGACCATCACCACTGCGACATGGAGGCTGCCCCAGACCGCCCCCACTACCACGGCGAGGACACGCGCCTGACCAGCGACAAGGAGCTCCGCGGCTTCTACATGTACGGATGGGCCGCTGAGGTACTTGCTGCACTCTGCCTCCATCTCCACCCAAGCCCGACCCGCGGCCCACTAACCCTGCCCAGGTCTTTGTCGTCTGTGGAATTGGCTCCTTCATACCCGTCACCCTCGAGCAGCTTGCCCGCGAGAATGGCGTCCTGCTTGCCGACCGCTCCACCCCATGCCAGGCCACAATACCCGCCCTCTCCCCCGCCAGTCTCTTGTCCACCCCAGGCCCCGAAAAGGGACAATGCGTCGTCTACATCCTCGGCCTTGAAATCAACACGGCCAGCTTCGCCATGTACACATTCAGCATATCCGTCCTCATACAGGCTCTGCTGATCATTAGCATGAGCGGCGCTGCCGACCACGGCAGGTTCCGAAAGACGTTCCTCCTCTACTTCGCCTTCATCGGCAGCATAGCCACCATGCTGTTTCTGCCTGTAGTCCCGAGCATTTACATCCTGGGCGCATTCCTCGCAATCATCGCAAACACATGCTTCGGCGCAAGCTTCGTCCTGCTCAACAGCTTCCTGCCCCTACTTGTGCGCTTTCATCCCACCGTCAAGTATGCAGACACCAGCGCTGCAACCTCCTTCATCGACAGAGACGACGACGACGACGACGAAGAAGAAGAGGCTGACGACCAAGTCACGACCGAAGAAGATGACGAGAGAGGCGGAGAAACGCCCACCCAGGAAAACATAGTCCGAGACGCACGTTATGCCAACCACCTTGCAGAGCGCCAAGGCCTCCTTGAAGAAGTTGCAGATGCCACGACCGCACTGCTCCCTCATACTCCGCCAAGCCTTGACCTGACCATCCCAAGGCCAAAAGCCTCCAACGCTTCCTCGGTCGAACTTTCCCTCGCTACCAAGATTTCATCCTACGGCATTGCAATTGGATACATTGCCGCCCTGCTGGTCCAAACTGTGGGCATCCTCGTAGTCATTGCTTTCAAGTCGTCAAACTTTGGTCTTCGCCTCGTTCTCTTCATCATCGGCGCATGGTGGTTCCTCTTCACTCTCCCGACCGCTCGTTGGCTTCGACCTCGCCCCGGCCCACCCTTGCACATTGCCGAGCAGACGTCCAACTTGCGCACCGCCCTCGCATACTTTAGCTACTCGTGGAAGTCGCTCGGCCGCACCGTAGCCCATGCCCGCCATCTCAAGGACGTCCTGCTTTTCCTTGCAGCCTGGTTCTTGCTATCAGATAGTATAGCAACAGTCTCGGGCACAGCAGTCCTCTTTGCAAAGACGACACTCGGAATGCCATATGCCATGTTGGCCCTCATCAACGTCATCGCAACCGTCTTCGGCGTTCTCGGCGCTTTCCTCTGGTCACGCCTCTCGTCGTTTTTCCACTTGTCGCCCACGCAAACAATCCTGCTTTGCATCCTGCTTTTCGAAACTATTCCCATTTATGGCCTTCTTGGCTACATCCCAGCAGTCCAACGATTGGGATTCCTCGGCTTACAGCAGCAATGGGAAATGTATCCTCTGGGCGCCGTTTATGGTTTTGTCCTCGGCGGTCTAAGCAGCTACTGTCGTGCACTGTTTGGTGAACTGATTCCTCCGGGTTATGAAGCCGCCTTTTATGCCTTGTACGCCATTACCGATAAAGGCAGTAGTGTCTTTGGCCCCGCCATAGTAGGCGCAATTACAGACGCCTATGGAGAAATCAGACCGGTATGTTTTTTTTAAAAAAAAATTCTCTTCTTCATCTACAGAATCCAGTAAGCTAATTTTTTTTTTCTTCCAAACAGGCATTTTGGTTCCTAGCCTTCCTGGTCGGTCTCCCCTTCCCCATTATGCTCCTTGTCAACGTAGACCGCGGCCGCACAGAGGGCGCGGCTCTAGCAAAAACACTGACCCAACTTGCCCGTGTCAGCGATGCCCTCGATGAACTTGACGCCCAAGATACCCTGTCCGAGGAGATTCGAAATGATCTCCACGGCTCCTTTTCCTATCAACGAGGTGGCCGCCAAGATCTTTGATCCCATTTGGCACCTCCGAGTCTTTGTTTTTTTTTTTGCATACCAGATTACGTTCTCTGTTGAATCCACTTTTGATGCTTTGTTGCTTGGCATATTGATTCCCGTCATGGCATGTGCGTGGGTGTTTGCATTGCACAAGGGCGTTTTCTTCTTGCCTCCTTCTCTTCTTTCTCTTGACTACATCTGTTGCTCTCTCATCAACTGAACAAATCTTAACGACAGATTTATGGGTTACCTAATTGTATATAATGCATACTACGACAAATGGGACAGATGACCATTAATTTGAACATGAACAGTTGGTATCGTGATTTGCATTTGCTCTCACCTCTTGGTTGATTTCCTTTTATTTAAACTTTTCTCGCCCATTCATGTATAGCATGGTTGGCTGCTACTACATTCCATCTCTGCTCACCCACACATGCATCTCGCTACCCATCCAGATCAAACATCTCCCTATGCTCCTCCCTTGCCTCGTCATCCGGCAAGTTATCCGCAATAATCTTCCACATTTCACGTGCAATCTTCTCTCGATTCTTCGCCGTCCTCACGCTCTTCTTCCACACTTGCTCAATAGCTTCCCGCTCCTTTGCTGTGACCTGCCATGTTTTTCCATGTCTCGTTAGCAAAATATAAAAAAAAAAGATTTTGATTCCCCTCTTTTTCCCTTCCTTCCTGAACGTTGGGGGAACAAAACCCAGTCATCTCAATTCGCTCGTTAAGGGAGACGAGGAATAAGAAGAAAAAGAACTCACCATCCTCGCCTTCCCCTTCCTCAGCCCATCCAGTCTCTCTGCAATCTCCGCCTTTTCCTTCTCCAGCAAGTCCACGTTTGCAATCAGATCCGCCGTACTCAGCGTCGACGTCACCGATGCAAGCGTGCACCGCAGAGTCTTGGCCGTGGCATTTAGAGCGGCGGTTTGCGTGCGCAAATTGGCTATTTCGGCGTCGAGGGCTGCGAGTTGTTCCGTTGTGCATGTGTCTGCTGCGTCCTATGTAAAAAGTCAAACTGATTAGCTCCAGGAGAAAAGTACTAGATGGGGTAGGGGGTTGAGGAAAGGAATTTTTGTCTGACCTACCTGCAAAGCATGATACACAATCTGTTTTCCTAGTTGACATAAAACCAGTAATCAGTCGCTCCATTGCATCAACTTGACAAAACCGAGAATGTAAAAAAGTAACAAGATTTCTCTACATACCTGCTGTTCGTCCCTCAATCAACTTTTGCTCGTGTAAATCTTTGAGAATCTTTGCTGCAGCAGCTACTTCATACGTCAGCTTGACTTGCATCAAAAGGAGCATTTCACAGCGTCTTTGTGTCTCACGAAACGCACCTTTGGTCACTTTGTTGTGCAGGTTGGCTGAGACATCGATTGCAGAGTATGGACGGTTCTGCTTGCCTGTGTCCATGGTGTTAGTATGGAAATCAAGACGGGTTGTGTGTTGTATGTGTATGTGAGGAAGAGGCCCTCACGCAAGTAGAGTAACACCATGTCTGCTGCCTCGTTGGCTGAGGCCTTTTCTTCCGTCTTCTTGCGCGGCGCCATCTTGTACTCTTCAGGTGTATGGGATTAAGAAAGTGAATGGTTTCAGTCGAAAGGCTAAAATGTTTGAATTTCTTACTGTGAGATGTTGCCAAGTCTCATCTATGTCGTAGCAGGAAGGAGTCACCCCCGACCGAGGCAGGAGCAAGTGTCTGGCTATTGCCCTCCACCCCTTGGGATATTTTTTAAAAAAAATCTTGCAAATGGAACATCTGCTGTGACATTTCCCCCAATATCCTTTACAATAGACCCAGTAATATACAAATAATCACTACATTCTGGGTGATTAATCTCTTAACCTCCGCGCTCACCATACTGGGCAGCCCAATCTTCGAATTCCTTCAGTCCCTGTTTACTTACAGACGGTCGGATGGTCTGAAGACTAGCCTCAAAGTCTCGGTATTGTATTGGCCGTATCTGATCCATAGTCATGGAAAGTAATTTTTCCCCTAGTGAGCGTAAAGGACCCATGGCGGCGTCTTTGGCAAGTGCTGTGATATCAGACCCAGAGAAGCCTGGCGTGATATTAGCCATATACCCACAAAGCATTCATCGCATACACACTGACCTTCAGTAAGCTCTACCAAACGATCGAGGTCCTCGTCACTAAGCTCATGTTTCTGATGACTCAGCAGTGTCTTGATCTGCTGCTTCCTAACCCAGTCCTCTGGCAGTGGAATGTATTGTCGTCTTACAAATCTGCGTCTTGCTGCTTCGTCAATAGCCCATGGGAGATTCGTTGCAGCCAGCACAAGCACTCTACTAGCATCGCCTTTCTCCTTCTCCCGTTCAGTCACTGCACTTCCAGCAGCTGCCTTTTGTAGATCAGACCACTGGATGAGAAATTCAGTCTTTATGCGACGTGTTGCTTCGTGTTCCCCAGAGCTGGACCGTGACGAAAGTAGTGAATCAATTTCGTCAACAAAGATGATTGATGGTGCAAGCATCTTAGCCAACTGGAATAGCGCACGGACAAGTTTCTCTGATTCGCCCAGAAATTTCGATGTTAGACTGCTTGCAGAAATGGCGAAAAATGTCGACTTTGACTCGGTTGCCACGGCTCTTGCCAACATTGTCTTTCCGGTTCCCGGAGGTCCAAAAAGAAGCATGCCGCGTGCTGGCTCTCGCAAGCCCATGAACAGATCCGGCCTCAAAAACGGGTAAACCACTGTTTCCTTTAACGCTGATTTTGCCACCTCCAATCCCGATACATCGTCCCAGTGTACTTCGTCTCCTTGTATCACAATCTCGTTCAGGATTTGCTGCGCGGCTTGCTTGTCGACACCCCGCGGAAGATTCTTCATGATTTCTTCTGTTCGCCGTTTCCAGTCATCCATCTCTTCTAGTTCTTCATCGCCCTCGGTACTGTCTGTGCTTGGAGTATCAGGTAGCTCTGCGCGAATCGAGTTTTCTCTAGCTCTGACCTTCTGTACCGGAGACCGTCTCTGTTTTGCAATGTTCCCGTCAACCTCGACTGCTATAGATTCAGGCGGATCGTCTTGCTCAGGATCACTTCGTGTGCGCGTGGTGTTATTCGTAGGTTTCGGCACTAGTCGTCGTGTGGTTGGATCCCACATGACACTCCCCTTTCCGCCTCCTCTCTCAACACCGCAGTCGCCGTATGAGTGTGCAGCTGCGGATGCAGCAAGATTTCGCGGATCAGGCGTATTTTTAGGATATTCGTTTCGGTACGAAGGCAATGCTGTGCTTCCCAATGGCAGTTGCGACTGAATACTTGAGGATACGCCTGGCCTCTCAGCAGCTGGCTTATCTGTTGATGAGCGTACTGAAGCAACCGTTGAAGAAGTTGACGGGTTTGACGGGCCCAGAACAGGGCGGCTCGAAGCTGATGCAGTTCTGACAGTCCATGCTTGAGTAGCTGCCTTTGAAGCATCAGGGCGGCTCCTCAACGAGTTAGGCATCTTTCCAGATGATGATTTGCCCTCCCTTCCAGGTCTCAGTGTCCGCAACAATCTACCGCTTTTCTCTGGGGATGGTGTACGCGCTTTGTTCTCGCCTACAGGCCCTGGAGACAAATTCGATGCGCTCCGAGTCTGCGATAGATTGTTTTCTCGTGCTGACCCATTCCCGGAGCTTTTGCGAGGCACCATTGCGGGGCGCAAAGGTAGCGGTGGTCGTGAGAGATCGGTATAATCCAACGGCGGTATAGAACCACCCCCAAGCCACGAAGAAGACGGGTTCGCTCCATTTGGTGATTGAGACGCTCCATAAGATGGTGCAACTGGCGTATTCGTGTCAGACGACACTGAGGTCAAGCTTTCTCTCGAATCCTCCCGGCTCCTTTTCAAGGCTTCCAGAAGATCTACGCGCTCCTTGCACTGTAGTTCCAGCTGACGTAGCGATTCGATGAGCGCTCTCTCTGTTTCGGATGTGGGGCGGTACGTCGAGGGGTTGCGACGAGAATTATGGTAATTGATATGGTCGAGGGCTGTCTTCCAGGATCGCAATGCTTCTGGCTCGTTGTTCTGCAAGGAATTTGGTCAGCAATCTCCATTGTACGCGACATTGTTGGGTTGACAAGCGCTGACCTGGCTCTCAAAGTACACTGCGGTCGAGCAAGCCAAGAAAGCCTCGTCGTAGGCTTTCTGGGTGGTGTTGGCGCGCATAGCGAAGGAAGTAGATATTGCGCGCCTACTGTAAGCTGGTGTAGGATACGGAGACAGGAATAAGTGTTTATCACCAAAGCCTGGGCTGGTATCGGCAGGGTCGTCTGTTGCATGCGCCAGCCTTAGCTTCGCGCTGGGGCGTGACGTAGTTGGTTGCTGCCCAGTGCATATTCGCAACCTCGAAGGCTGAGTAAGGGCAACCGAGCAAAACAAAAGAAGCTACTGCGGTGGCGTTTTTCAAACATGGGCAACCCAACACCGTAAGCCAAGTTCAACTCGATAAATGCTTGCACTTGCAAAAGAAATCCACAAGACAGGCGCATGCGCATGCGAAAGTGGGGTACGTGATCAGAGGCTAAACAGGAACGGGCCGTCGTCTATCGATTACGCACCTACAGAGAAGCCTACTACAATAGACATAAAGGTCAAAAAAGTTAACGGAAAGGCTTTGACCCCTGTGCAATAATATGTTAGCTGCAATAGCCCTGCGGTTTAGGCAGTGAAAGACAAACTATGCATGTCATGAAAAAGCTGATTGATGGGTTGTGAGCGGTGCCGGTCTTGAATTTCTTCTATGGTACAATTATCTGCGCAAACCACCATGCGCTCACATAACCAAACGTTTAGACGCTGCCAGATGAAGCGTTTGGAAGAGCCTCAAAGCCTCTCTCACTACACAATGACAAGTAAGGAGTGTCACGACACATCTTCCTGCTCTGCCCGCTCTATACAGAATGCTAGGCCTCGTCGCAAATGCCCAGTACTCCAGTAATATCCTCTCCGCGACGCCGCAGGTATATTATTCGATTTGCAAAACGCACATCGTCATACTCTGGCGATTTTTGTAAATGATGCCTGGGAAAAGGGGCCAGTCTGCATCGTTGTCTCGTTATATAGCCGTGGATGAGTTCGTACTTCTCCGAATAAAGAAGGCCTTTGCCATCTCGTATGCAGACCTGCGTTGGGTTAGAAAAAAACAGACTAGGCGGGTTGCAAAAGAGCTTACCAGCAAATGGCAGTGCTGGGCATCGTGGTGATGATTCGAGGCTTCAAGCCACGGAAATATCCTCTGTATCCTTCTCTTTGGTGGATGATCTTTGCCGCTTGCACGAGACCTGAGACATTCTTCAATTCCACATCCCTGGCGTTTCCTCGCGTTTGTAACAGCGTCTTGATGACATCGAGTGGTGTGGTAAGGCCGGCTGCAAATCCACCTGCAACACCGCCGGCGAAGCAATGTGTATAGGGATCGTATCGGCCGGTAGGGTTCATGACTTTGGAGAGAGATTCGTATGCCATGAATTGCAGGGCTGTGAAGGGAACCGTCATGCATAGTGTTGTAGGGTAGGAAACGTAGAATGCGCCAATGCCTTCTGTCCGGAGGACCTCGCGGGCGCATTGCGGGACAGACTTGTATATCGAGCCGTGCATTTGCATGCGTTGTTTTATGACTGCGGGGTTCAGTAGACGCGGGGCGCGGTGATGATATGCCTCTTACCGTCAAACGGATTCATCAATGCATCGCTGGAAATGGTGGCTGCGGCACCGCTAGCAGCTGTTGACAGTTAGCAAGTGCTCGCTAGAATGCTAATATGGGTGGCGCTGCGCACCTGCTGCAAGAGGGTGATGTTCATGGCTCTCCCCTTCGTTTCCGCCGAGAGCATGCTTCGTGGCCTCGTACGATGCAAAATAGACAGCATGCGCGGGGCCTGTATCATCCGTTAGCTACACATGGCTATAACCTGCGCCGTTGTTTGCCTACCCGCGCCCATTACAACACTGGACAAGCCTCTCCATAACGACCAGAACCCTTCGGCTCGGGATATGGTGACCATGGCATTCGAAATACCACTATACATGGCGCTTGGCGAGGGGTTGACGATCTGCATTCTGGTCTGTCGACAGTCAGCGCATGGCTCGTAGGCTGCGAGGATCTGAGAGGCATGCTGCGCACCTTGAGCAAATCTACCGGGTACATGACCGAGTGTTCCTGTGGTCAAGTCAGCCGGGGGCGAGTACATGGCGGCGGCGGCTCCAGAGGACGTACAGCGACACCCGCAAACGCGCCTGCGAGCATGTTGGCGGTGAGGGAGAAATTTGGTGGGAGTGCTTCATAGCTGGCGCGCAAGTTAGCGATTTGTGTCTTTCATGGCGGCGGCGCAATGGAGCTGTACTCGTGCTCTTCTTCGACAGGAACTGCTGGTCGATCATGGGTGGCCATAAGATGGCCGGCTGCAGGTGCCGCGGATTCCAGGTTGGCGGTTTGAAGAGAGACGGTTGGGAGGGGTTCGTGATAGGTCCCAGGGTGGTGCAAGAGGGCGACGGCGATGGGTTGACGCTCGTCTGAAATTGAAGTTGTCACTTTTGTTTGCAACTAGTAACGGAAGCGCGAGATGACTTCAGCCGAACGCCGAGACGTCAGACCTAAAACGCGGCGGCCGGGTTTTACTCTATCGACCATCAACTTGGCCGTCGTTATCAGTCGCTGCGATGCCGGAGCCTGATGGATGGATGGCCACGCTCTGTCTGCGCAAGCCAATGCATATGCGTGCCAGGAGACTGTATCTATGTACATACAGACATGCTTCACTTCCGCGCCTCTCGACTGGCCAGCCGCCACTACTGCGGCAAATGCATCCAAACAATTTTGCACATGGCCGCGGAGATGGCGTACATTCTGAGTGCGACAGCGAGTGTCTGCGAAAGCCGGCGAGGCGAGGCGAGGCGAGAAGAGTTGTGGTGGCTTCCCCGTATCTTATCAGATCATCTCCGCCTACGTTTCACGCCAGTCACGACGGCGCAGACTACGCGATTTGTATTCTACAAAAGCTTGTGTTGAGTGGTGGTGCAGCATGATTCTGCCGCCCCCCCCCACCACCTCGCTGCCAACGGCTCACGGCAGCGTACTACTCTACTCTACTCTACTCTACTCTACTCTGGACCCTCTGGCTGATTAATGGCCCATATCGGCGTTAAATAAGCCGCATGGGCCTCGACCGCCGTGGCTAACCAAACTACAACATGATAACTGAAAATATTCTATTGTTGCGCACGCAATGATGAGCCGAAGCAGCAAGTCTTGCCATGTGTATGGTAATACGAGAGCGGACACGAATTTTGAACCCTCTTTCTTGCAGCCCCAAAGTCGGTGCGGCTTCGGCCCGCCAGGGTTCGGAGCAGTCATGGTTCTCGGTCGGTCGAAGTCGGAGATAAAATCGCCCAGCACCGACGGTATGAAGCCCGTTCCAAGCCTTGATTACTGCTGCTGCTACTGCTGCTGCTCCAACACCACCAGCAGTTTTTATTTCCTTCAAATACGCTTTGGTATCCTAAGTTCGGGGTTATCGCATTTACCGTATCCGATTTTTAATTTAAAATAACATTGTGGTGATGGTGATATGTACTGCATGGCAGATGTGGCTCGTTTGGTGGGCTAGCCCGCTGGTCTCACCAGTTGACCAAAAGGGTGGTTGCAGCGCACAGGTACAATGGGCCCTCGGTCTCGATCACTACAACAAGCAATAATCTCCAGCACCCTTCATGGCACGTTACAAAGCACCATGTTGGTCAACACTACAATGTCGTGATCCGAGATACTAGAGGTACTCCAATTTCAACTGCACATCAACAGTCGCACCTCTTGTGCCACCGGGGGAAGCTGACTACATCTCTGATATTAGAAACACCCGCCAGGTAGCACAGAAGCCGATCAAACCCAAGGCCAAACCCGCCATGCGGGACGCTGCCGTATCTCCGGAGATCGACATACCACTGTAGGGAACCGTCTGATGCGTCAGTCGATTCCTCAGTTGTGTGTCGGAGGCCGTGGGCATCCATCGACTGGACAAGATCAGGCAGCCTGTGCTCACGCATCGAGCCCCCCACAAGCTCACAAATCCCAGGCACGAGCAAGTCGAAGCATGCGACTGTTGATACTGCGCCATCACCAGCTGCAGCGCCAGTCGACGGCGCCATATAGAATGGCTTGATGTTACGTGGGTAGTCAGTGACGAAAACGGGCCCGCCATTGCCTATGCTTTCGGCCAGGAAACGTTCGTGCTCGGTCTGGAGACCGTCTTCATGGCCCGGCGTGTACTCGAATTCGGCCTTGCCCTGAGATATGGCGTCCTTGAGGTGCTGTACGGCGGCTTTGTAGGTAATTCTTGGCCACGGCCCGGCTATCAGCCCCTGCCACCGTTGTGCTAGCGCAGTGTGCGACACAGGTGTACTCTCTTGTTCCTGGTCCCGCGCCTGCGTTTCGAGCAGCTCCTGGCCTACAGCCGATGTTTGCAGCTCGGAAGCAATGGTGCGCAACATATCCTCTACCGTATCCATGACGACATTGACATCGTCGACAAAGGCCATTTCGGCTTCTAGCATGTAAAACTCACTAAGATGACGGGCCGTGTCACTCTTTTCGGCACGGAACGTAGGGGACAGAGTCCAGACCTTGTTCACTGACTGAGCTAGAGCCTCAAGGTGGAGCTGACTCGAGACTGTCAGGTATTTTGGAGAGCCAAAAAACAAGTCTTGATGGGGCTTAGTCTGACTAGTTGAGCTTTGATCATGAGCAGATGGTGCTTCAGGCGCCACAGTGAAGACTTCGCCTGCGCCCTCGCAATCCGAAGACGTGATGATTGGCGGATGGCATTGGACAAAGTCGTGTTTCGCAAAGTAATTTGTGACTTGAGCCGTGACTAGAGACCTCAACCGCAGGATAAGCGAGTTGAACGGCAGTCGACTTCGCAGATGCGGGAGAGTGCGAAGAAACTCTGCGGTCTGGAACTTTTTCTGTATTGGGTAGGTCTGAGAGGGAGTAACGCAATCAGATGGTGAAGGCAGTCAGTGCAGGTCACGGTAGAAAACTCACGGTGGCATCGTTGTCTCCCAATATGCGCACATCCGTGACCTGGAGCTCATGAGACTGTCCCTGGCCTGGCGAGGGCGTCCATTTGCCGGTGGCTGTGACTGCGACGCCGGTTGAGAGGCTGATGGAGCGGCTTGTCAGTGCCTGGACGAGTAGCAGTAGAAGAGGCGGCGACTGACCCTTCTGCTAGCTGGGGAGGGAGGACGGCCTGGACGGTGCGCAAGGTCGAGCCGTCTCCAATGGCGGCAAAAGCAATTCGCTTCTGCTTGCGCACAGTGCGCACATAGCCGTTGACCGCCAGGGTGGCACCATCCGGAGGAGGTTGGCGTGCAGGGGGCGAGTGTGCAGAGGGCCTCAGCAGCTCAGCGATGGTGTTGGGGCGAAACGTCGAAGTGCAGCGAGGACGACATGTCGGCCATGCACGAGGCCAGGGAGAAGCGGCGCTGTGATTTGGAGACGTGTGCTGAGGGCGGACAGGAGTCGTCAGCGGGCGCAGGACGCACCTCATTTACGCGGCGGCAGACTGCACCTGTCGAGCAGTGCGGTGTAGCGTCTAATAACCAGCAATGGCCGTTGGCGTTGGCGGTGACGTTGTGTAGGAATCGAAGCTTGGAAAAAGCGAGCTGGCGCTTGGGCCCCGCGCTAGCATCGCGTCAACCTGGCCGTTCTTGGGCGCTCGTCAATCGTTCGTGTGGGCGACAGGCCACCCGCTAGCTGCGAGCAGGGGATTTATTACACGACCAACGACTTGGATGCTGATGTATCGACGTCGAATCACCCGTACGCACGTACATGCATACCGAGCACATCCACGTCTCGACGTACAGGCTATTTTCTAACAGACGTGCAGCACGAGATTCAGCCCTGGCATCTACACTACACACGCCCACATATGTACCTAAACAGACACGGACACAGCCGCCACAACTCGCTGGCAAAAGAGGATACATACACATATATACAGATGTATAAACACCACATGTCCACCTACGTATGTACATGTACATGTGTATGTATATGAATGGATGTACACCTACATGCATGTAAGCAGCTCCCCCTCTCCTCCACCACCGCCGCCGCCGTTTTCGTCCTCCCGGGCAGCCATGTCCCGCAGCAAGGGCCCGATGATGCCGTGGCCCTTTGTCGCCGCCGGTCTTTGCCTGCTGGTGCCACCTGGCTGGCGGTGAGGGAAACACGCACTCTGTGGCACAGTGGCCCGGCTACGTGTGGCGGGCTCGACGGTAAGCCGCGATTGATTCGGTGGCAGGACATGTGCCATGGTGCCCTGCATCTGGATTCTAGTGCCGACGCTATTGCTGCGGCGCTATATCGTGCAGGATCTTGGTTACCAAGTGCTAGTAAGCTGTCATCATCGGCTGCCCAGCGCCGCCAGATCCTTCTAACCCGCTTCCAACCCGATGCAGATCGCTTCGAGGTCTGGCCGATCGATTCAGCCACGCATCCCTGCCTTGCCCGTCCCAGCAAACCCGACACGGCTCTTTGTGGCTTCAGGTGCCTGGCAGCTGGCTGGGTTCACAGCAGTGCCCCCAGCACCAGGGCCAGGCTTGCAAACACACGGCACGGCTGCTACCGGCCACCTAGTACATGCATCATGTCTCCATCCCTCCAACCGCTGTCCCCGTGTCTGCTGCGAGAATGCCACCCCTCGCGCGCCCCAACCCACAGGGGTCTGCCAGATTCACGCAGACGACTGCCGCTTCTGTAGCTGGTGCATTTCTGCTGCCCCAGTCTAGTCGCCGACTCGATCTGGGGCTACGATCTAGCTTGCCTTATTATACGCCCGTTGCAAAACCCGCATTCGACTGATATACTGTCCCTTGGCCGGTCTGGCGCCGTCTGGTCACAGGCCCTTACTCCCTCTCCCTCCCCCGCACTGCCTTGCTCAAGTCCCATGCTGCTGTAAATCACTGCCATCGCCCTCGCCCTCCCCCCTCAGCGCCATTGTTTCTCCAGACTTGTCCTTCGACTCACCTTCCCTTGCTGTTCTGCTAGCCTCAGCTCACGAAACAGCCAACACTCCACCTACGTCACCATCGTCATGCCACAATCAAGACCAAAACCCTCTGAAATAGCAGCCGAAGCAAAGCGAGTATGGATGCCTCACATTTGGAAACACTACATTCGAGACTCCAAGACGTCATATCTCTATCCAGATTCTGCACAAATACGAGTCAATGTCGACAAGCGCTCATCACAACGAACCAGAGTCGCAGTCATGGAGGGCGACCCCGTCAACTATGCCCTGGGCTGGTACCAGAGCGCTCTCAATGCCGACCCAAACTGCAAGAGAATTCCCGTAGTCAATGTAGCCAACGAAAAGCGCGCAGGTGGCGACTGGGAATCTGGCCTCATGGCTCCAGAAGAGTGCTTTGCGCGGAGAAGCAACCTGGTCCACGCCCTCACCATGCCCTGGAACGCACAATTAGGCGTCGAAGAGAATTTCTACCCCATCCCACAAAGAGGTGGCGTCTACTCTCCCGAAGTGTGTATGTTGGGGTGCTAGCCAAAAAGTCCGCCTCGGCACAAGACTCGTTACTAACAAGCCACAGACGTTTTCAGAGCCGGTCCGGAACAAGACTATGCACCGTTTGCAGACATGGCCTCACTTCCCGTGATATCAGTTGCCCCAGTGCGGCGCCCAAAACTTGACGAGAGCGGTTGCAAGTACTCATTTGCACAAGAAAGAGAGTTGATGCGAGAGAAGATGCGAGCAGTGTTGCGCATCGCATCCTACTGCGGGCATCGAAACTTGGTTTTGGGCGCGTTTGGTCTCGGACCAATCTTCCGCAACCCGGCGCAGGAAGTAGCGTGCATGTGGAGACAATTACTCTTTGAGGAAGAAGAGTTCCATGGCGCATTCCAGGATGTAGTCTTTGCCATTGACAGTAGCATGGTCGGATCACCCAGCAAGGGCTGCATGTCTGACGTGGACATTTTTAGGCGCGAGTTCGATCCTGCCACCATTTGGCCAACAAAGTGGTGAAAGGATGACCAGATTGGATTACCACTCCTAAAAAAAAACAGACCGTCGGGAATGAGGCGCAACAAAGAAATCAACACAGTCGCGTGTGCCACGTTTCAACTGCAAGGACACACGGGAATTCCGTAATCAAGGGCAGTACGAGGTTGCATTACGCACATACATACTAAGTACACATATACTACTCACACACATGTATGCACCCATACCGTTCATGCTGGCAACCAAAAAAGGGGCGGAAATAACCTCCGCGCAGGCGCAGGAGAGAGAGCCAATAGAGGGGTTAAAAGGGCAAAAAAGAAGGAAAGGGCCAAAATGGACTTGACTCGTTCATGAAGTCATGGGATGTGTGGTGTGGCAGGTGGGCAAGTGGGGTTGGGGGGGGGGGACACCTCTTTGGTCTGCACACAGAGAGATAACCGAGACAAATAAAGCTCAGATCTGGCCGAACCCGACAAACTCTGACCAGGTGGCGCGATTTGGGGCCTTGCTGCTCGATGCTGCGGCTAAAATGCTGCCAACGCCTTATCTTGGGAGGGGGTGGGTGGGTGGGTAGGCGGGTTGGAAAGTATAGTGGTAGCCAATCAAGTATTTAATATACACATGTATTAGGTAAACTATGGACGGCAAGCGGTCTTTTTTTCCTTCTTTTTGCTTTGCTTGCACTATGCATTTATGGTTTGTGAGAGAGAGAGCACATTTTGTACTCGCGCACAGTTCTATCTTTGCACTCGTTGTATCCATTTGCTTTTTTGGCCTATTTGCTTTTCGCCTTGTTCACGCGCGAAGCGATGTTTAGAGGCGGGTCGTCGAGTCGCGGGGAATAGTGACAAGGGCGGGGGAAAGGAGGGAGGGGGAAATAGGGAATCCATGTATGCGATATAGTGCTTTCCAATCTGCAACCACGGCCCCCGATTGCTGGTTCCTCTTTTTTCCCTTTCTTTGAGCTCCTTCACAAAATTCGCCCGATTCGTTCTTTCTGCTCTTGATACCCACATATCCCAGGCCTCGGGTCATTTTTTTATCCTGTGCTGACCGGGAACTCCTTTTCTTTTCCACCCCTCCCCCGTCGGTCCGTCATCCATCCTTGCTTTCCATTTCGTTCCGCAACAAACCAAAAATCGTTCGGATATCTATGGTACACAGACCCCCTCTCCCTTCCCTTGCCCGTTCGGCCGTTTCCAATTGCTCTTACGCGCGTAACTTAAACTCTATTTGCAGGAACCCTTTTTCTTTCTAACTTGTTGTTTTACCTTTTTGTTCTTCCGTTCGCCTCGCTGCAACGGCGCATACTACTCCGTCTGACATGCACCGTTATTTCTTTTAACCCCGGCTCAACGCTCTGTGCTTCGCTTGCCCCATCCCCAATTGAATTTCTTGATTAATAAAGTAAACAACGTCCATGTATCTTCCAAAAGAGTGACGGCCTGCAGGGGGGGGTTTTTTTTCTTGCCGGAAGCAATAAAGGTACCTGTTCAAATTTATATATAGGTATTGCGTTGGCTTTTCTCCTAAACAGGTATCTTTAACCTTCATCCTTATCATTTCCTTTACTTTCTCTTTCTTTGGCCTTTCGCGACCGAGGCAGAATGCGCACGGGACAAGTGAAGTGCCAAGACACGGGATATAGATACCGATGAGATTCGGACGGGGGGCACTCGGTATGGTTGCTCCTTGATGAATAATGTACCTGTGGGCCGTGCGTCTGGAGTGCATGTGCATGGGAGCGAGAGGGGAATGTGCACGCTTGTTTAATTTTGGTTGGGTGATTCTACATAGTAGTACGTAGATGAGTGTTGGTCATGGGACTGGATGGTTAGTGCACGTGTGTGGTAGCAATTTATTCCTACCTGCTAGTACCAAAACTTTGCTTGCTCAACTCGATGATATTCTTCATTTCGTTGGGGGCACGTAGAGTTTGCGGGCTGCAACTTGTCTGGGGGATGCGCGTGCATGGTTTCGGGGTCGGGTGACGACATTGTGCCATGTTGGCGCTTAACATGTATGGAAGCAATAGGGTTTCGAGTGCGTATGTAGTCGGCCTCAGCATCCATGTCCATGCCTAATCGGACTCGTTTTTACCAATCTTTACAAGGGAGAAATAGGTTCGCAGGTGGATAGTTCGGGCTTTGTTCTGTTGCATTGGGGCATGCATACTTACCGACTCCAAGTACATGTGCATGTGCATGTGCATGTGCATGGGCCCCTTGGTTAAAGAGATGTGGAGAATGTGATGAGTGAGGGGCACTTTGCATGTGATGCATGTTGGAGGGGTGAAGAAGTGCCGACATTGTTGGCCCTTTCACTATATGCAACCATGAAGTATATTATGGCAAGGTTTGGAGTTACATACCATTTTGAGTCAAGCTGGCTTTTGTTTCTATGGTGCATGCCATGCTGATCCTGCCTATCTACAAGCGGGCTAGGGAATCGTGTATATTTATTGATACTACTACTGGTACTACGTATCGTACATATTGTACAGGGTCATGAGCGGCGTCAAAGGAAAAACAAGACTACTACTACTCAAGCCAGATGAGCAAATCTTCTAGTAGCGCCGCAAATCACCTGTTCTGACTTGGTAGAGGTAACTGTGGTGCTGTAATTTCACCGCCTTGCATTTCAATCTTTTTGATGGTTTGCTCGCGTTGGTAGTTGACCACTCGTTGTTTCTTGAAGTATTCAACCTGGTGTTTGTTAGCATTGCTCCTCCTCATCCGTCGCTATGCTCCTAGACATGTGATGTGTTCACCCATCACTAGACCGAGTATCAACTCACCCAGCTATGCGCGCAATTCTTCTCGAATTCCTTGTCCAGCTGTCCACAGAAGCTTGCAGCCTTGTCCCTTCCAGACTTTGTGTTTATGCTATCCAGGATGTTGTTCTTGTCGAGGCATTCGAAAAAAGCGTCGCGTGCTGCGTAGCATTGTTTGCGATTTGACCGTGAGGGCGACTCGAATGCGCCGCCTTCTGTTTTCTTGACACCGGAGTCGTCCTTTGAACTCGAGCCGAACCAGCCCATGGTTGTAGAATGTCAAGTTGCGGAGAAAGGTGCGGCGGAGTCGGAGTCGGAGATGGAGGCGGAGGTAGGAGGTTGAAGCTGGCGCATGTGTCAGACCAGAGCGAGACAAATGTTTCACATGAATTGGGTTCTAGGGTTGCGTACTTTGGTAGGGTGTATAGCGCAAGGCTCTTTGGTAAAGCTAGTAGGCAGGGCTGTCGGTATCAATGCAGAGCAGAATGTCGAATTGGTGCTTGGCAAAAGTTCCCACGCTATGACATCGGCGCTGACGCTCTACGTTTCGCCGAACCCTTTCAGCGAACCATCCGCGAACAGGCAACCTTGCCAACTAGTAATACAGGACCGACCGACGTGACTTTGGGACTCTCCACTCCTTATGTCCATGCCATAGCGCATCGCCTGCGGATTCATGCCACGCCGACGCCGCCCCCCTCGACCCGGTGCACTCGCCGATCTCTCGCCAATCCGCATTCTCTCCCAGATTGTCCTCCTGCAACTCGCATACTATGCATGCGCCGGGATCCTTATTCTCTTCACTGCTCTGGTAGCGGGCAAGGAGATCAGCCTGGATCTTCTCTTCAACTGGCAGAGCCTGAGCGGAGATACCACGGTTGGATGGACATTGGGCCTGGTCTGGATGTTGAATAGCCTCGCCTGGTAAGCCCTCACCTACGCGCCCCGTGTAGTTGTGCAACCGTCTGACATGCCACAGTGCTATTTTCATACTGCTTCTCATTGCCCGCTCTAAGCTCGTCCTTGATTTTGCCCTTACCGTGCACTTTATTCACTTGGTTGTCACCTCCTTATACACGCATGCGATACCCGCGAACCTCTTCTGGTGGGCTCTACAGATATGCAGCGCGACCATCATGACTTCCTTGGGAGTGTGGGCATGCCAGTGGCGGGAACTGAGACCCATCAATTTTGGGAGCAAGACGCCCGCGCGACCGCAACCACAACCGGCGGCCGAAGAAGAGGGCGGCGAATCTAGGGGCAGGGGCAGGGGTAGAGGGAGGGACGGCGCGGGGGAATACGAAATGGTTGGCATGAACGAAGGGGATAACAACGTCTGACCGCTCTCCATCCTTTGCATAATAGGCGTTTGGGTTCGCCTGACTTGGACATATCGATTGGCATCAAAGCAACATTTAATATACCCGGAGAAAGCATAGAGCATTATACATTAGCATTTGGATCAGACGTCAAACAATCTGCTCAGTCATAATCACTGTGGCGTGTTAACGGCATTCAAAACTTTGTATCGCTCTGCCTCCAAGAAACCATTCCGACGAACTATCTTCGAGTTCGACCGTGCCATCCCTCAACATGAACCACGACAGCTCATCTGGCTCCCCTTTACCTTTCATTGCCTCTTTCTGCTTGGCATCTGTCTTTGGCGTGATTCTGCACATGATCTTATCCAGGCGTTCTAGTGATATCGAACGGTCTTCGACTGTAACTGCCATAGCGATTTTGATAGCGCTTAGACGACTTGGTATATTGAGGCCTAGCCGCAGTGTCAGTGGCTCTTGGGGAGGATTTACTGCTGCTACAGTCTACAGATAGGCAGGGAGCTTGTCCGAGACGTGCACATGGTTGAAAGCTCTAGCTCCAACATCAAAGTAACGTACCAGCGACGATCCGTGTATTTAGTGGGATTTCCGCCAGCTTTTGCATATTGCCTCCGCTCTCAATAAATGCCAACATGACGTGAATGTTGTTCGACTTCAATGCACCTGCTTGATGATCTGGGAGAAGAGGTTGCTGTACTTCATGTTGTGGTATACTGGCACCGACAGCGAGAGACGCGTACGCGAAGCTGCATACGATAAACTTGTTGAACATGGCGGAGTTATGGTGTTCTGAAGCAAACAGTTGTATTGAGAAGGAGGCTATCTATATTTCCAGACGAGTTGTGGCGCGTGTTGTGTGCGGAGAAGCTGCTATGGCCCTGAAACCAAACGATATGACCCCTCTCCACTTATACTTCTTAGCAGCGTTGCCGAGGGCCTAGATGTAGCGCATATTGGGCTCTTCTATTGGACCCAAAAGACTAAGTGAGAAGCCTAGGCCATTGTCGGTAAATCGGCATGGATGTTCTCTTGCTCCTATTTCCATGGACGGCGCCAAAATGCTACCAACTGACGTTGTTTGAATTCGCGGTAAGTGACATGTGTTCAGGGTATTCGTCGAATTTGCCCGCCAGACCCTCCCGTGTTTCCTCAGACAATGAAGTCCTAATACAGCCCAACAATGTGATTAGAAAAACTGGTACGCTGCTCTGGAGGTAAGCTGGCACGCGACCTGGCTGCACGACATGCCATAGCGCGAAGCACGGACGCTAACCTCTTAGAACGAAAACAATCCCTGCTTTCAAAGCTTTCCTCACCACCAGCCTCTTGGTATCAGATGCTGCGTTGATCTACCACTAACAGTTGTCAACTAATGCAAGCGCGCAGTATTAGAGCCCATAATGAACCCGGATGATCATTATTTCAGGCAATGGAACCCTGAGCATCATGAGGACGATGGAGGCTTTCCACCTGTTCCAGGTACCTTCGAAGATGATACCTCCAACTTAATGCAGCCAGGTGCGCAACCTGGCAGACAGCAGTATCCTGTTCAGTTCCCACAAAGTGGGTTGCCGTTTCCTTCCCACTCAGTGTACCACCAGCTTGACTTTCAGCCTCCTCAATTCCACCATCAACCGCCGGCCCGGAATCCGTACATACCTTTAATTCCGCTGAATGCCGTAGAAGATCTAGAAGACGAGGAGCCTTTGCCACCTTTTACCAGTGGCAATTTTCAAGATCCATTTAACAGGGCTTATGCTACTAGTGGGCCGGCAGTTTTCGAAGGGTTCATCCCAGCGAACCCTGAACAAGAGGATGAAGATGAGTATGCCGAAGCTAGTGAATTTCATTCCTCGATTTATGACCGCGAGTTTGAGAGCTCAGAAGAGGAGGAGGAGGACGAAGACGACGAAGACGACGAGTATGAACGTATGCTCGAAGAAGAGGAAGAGCGAGAACGGCTACTGCAAACTCAGAAAGACGACTCTGAAGTCGATGCGGATTATTCGTCCGAAGATGCACAGCAAGATGAGGGCGATCCTGATGAGATGGAGCTGGGTGTTGCGTTTGAGGACATGGAAGGACGTGTCAGGTACAAGAGAGGGAAAGGCAGTAGCAGAAAGTCTGCCAAAAACCCCGCCATGGGTAGTATTATACCCACGTCGAGTACTAGGGGGAGGGGTGGGGGCAGAAGAGGGCGCCCTTCGACCAGAGGGCGGGGTGGTAATAGTGGCGCTAGGTCTACACGGGGGAGAAAACGAGGGAAACCTGGAAGAGAGAAAGGTCCCCGAGGTCCCCGCGCTGTAGCCGACCCGGGTGCAGAATGGAAAGCCTTGCAGCAACAGGCCAACGCCAAATTCATCGAAAAGGACTATGAGACAGCTCTTTGGTTTGCTCAGCAGGCTATCCAACTCAACCCGGAAATTTTCGATGCCTACAACATCGCTTCTGAAATTTACACTGAAATGGGTCGTGAAGAAGATTCCATAGCTGTACTGTTAGCTGGAGCGCCAACAAAGCGTGACCCTGGTCTTTGGCAGTTCATCATCGAGCGTATCCAACAGTTAGACCCGGAGCAACACCCACGTTTCACTGATGAGAACAAGTCGGCTGCTATACTTCCATGCTTGAATGAGATCATCCTGCTCAATAACGACTATGAGGCTCGCAGCCACAAACTTGAAATCGAGGCGCAACTAGGGCGTTCTTCAAAGTGCGTGATGCTGGGCCTCAAGATGCTCAAGACACGTAAAGAGCAGGGAGAAGATCCGGACACGAGTGTGCTGAAGATCATGGCAATGATGGGCACTGCATCACCAAGGCAGACCAAGATACATCTCCACAAGCTTATCGACAGCTTTGAGGAGGCTATTGATGTGTTCACACAACCTGACCGGGACCCAGTCGCGAACGACCTTGACTGGGAATTGATCAATATCTATCTTGATCTGTTAGACAGAGCAGGCAGTTACGCCAAGGGAGTTGCAAAGCTGAAATCACTTTCGCGATGGAAGCAAGGCAGACATGCAGAGACGTTTTGGGATGAAATTGACGACGACCGCGAGTTTGATATTGAAGATGAGCCAAGACGTGTCGCTGTTCCACAGTTTGTGCGGAAGTCCCAAGATGCCAAGTATGGCTCAACTCTTCCACTAGAGATCAGGGTCAAACTTGGGTTGTTTCGGCTGCGTAGAAGTAAAGATGACTTCAAGGAAGCCATGGTAAGTATAGTATTAGCTGATGAATTCGTACATCTGCTGATTATATTAGCACCATCTGGAAATGTTGGAGCCAGACGATCAAGGTCCAGATGCTCTTATGTGGGACTATGAAGATCTGTTCCGAATTATCGGCGATGCCCTACATGCTACTGGTCATGACAAGGATGCGCTGCGTTTCTATGAGCCATTGTTCAACAATGATTCCAGAGAGTTCAATCTCATGAGCTACATTGGCTTGCACACTTGCTTCAAGAATGAAGGGCAGACTGAAAATGCGGCACAAGTTGTTCCTATTTTAAAGAAATGGCCAGCGAAAAGTTACGATGACCTCGCTATTCTTGCAAAGTTCTTTGAAGACCAGGGCATGTGGCAAGAAGCTGGACAGCGTGCAGAGACCATTTACCGTGATAAGTATGGTCACAAACTGAAGGCTCTGGGCTTTCAGGCCTACGATGAGCTCAGAGTATACTACTACAACCAACGTAGACAGGCTAGGGGTAGGTATGCTGTTCGAAAAAGCACTGTACGGAGGAACAGAAAGAAGATGCAAAAGGCGACTGGGCAGAATGGCGACGAGGATGATTCAACGAATGAAACAGGAAACAAGGAGCTTCCAGGAATTATTGCCCCTACTGAACGACCCAAGAAAGGTCTGTTCCGAACAAAGAGGACCAAGGCGCCAAAGATTCAGGTATTCCTTGATGTGCGCGAAGAAGACGCCGAACCACCGCCCGACGTCGAACCCAGACCGGCTACGATTGAGGGCACTGGCGTGCCATATCGGGCAATTGCAAACAGACTGTTCCGCGGCAAACTTCAAAAGCTCGCCGCAGACTTTGCTGACGATCTGAAGGCTGCGAGAGCTCAACATCGAGAAATCGTCTCCAGTTTCAAACGCCTGGATGAGATATGGGAGTCCGCAGAAGATGGAGACAAAAAAGCTATCAAAGAAGTCTTATCCATTACCCGAGAGCTGATTGAAGAATTTTCGACATTTGACTTGTTTTATTCAAACAAAAAAGAGGACCTCATGACCTACTTCCGACGCGTAACAGCCGGAGACCTCTGGAAAGAATCCGCACTGATGGTGCTTGCTGTGGTAGCGAACAATGTCGAGGACGGCGACACAAACCCTGAACTCCAAGAACGACCTAGCACACCCCCGACTGATTTCTGGGGTGTACATTTCGACAAATGGTGTGATGCGTTTGGCCGTTATGCCATTTTGCTTGCCGGCGAGGGTGATGAAGAGCAATGTTTCGCTACACTCGATATTGCCCTCCAGGCCAACATCTTTCACCGCTCTCAGATCTACCATCGGCAACTTCAAATATGTCGACTCACCTGTGCCCTTGCCGCCGACAACTCACCGCAAGCCTCTATTGCAGCGCGTTGGCTTCTTAAAGAATATCCGTTTGGTACCGACCTCTTCCGTTTATACAGCGCTGTCAATCGTCTATGCTCTTTCCCCGAAGGCTTTGCAACTGGTCCCGCATACAAAGTACTCATGCGCTACATAAAGACGGTTGACTACGCACTCCTTACCCCGCAACAGCGTATAGATTTTAACTTCAGCACCAAAGCCACCAAAGGCGGTTTCAGAAATAACGTCAATATCGAGGACGTGGACAAAGTCAAGGGCCACGACCCCGCACTCTTTGCATTATACGCACACGTTTTAATGTGCGGTGGAAGCTACATGGCAGCGCTAAACTACTACTTCCGTGCATTCGCTCTTACGCCTGAAGATCCAGTAATCAATATAGGCATAGGCGTAGCATACATCCAACACGCTATGAAACGCCTTTCAGAAAACAGGCAGTACCAGATCCAGCAAGGCTTGTCCTTCATCTACAGATATTACGATCTCCGCATCAAAAGCCCACACGCCATTCATCGCCAGGAAGCAGAGTTCAACGTCGGCCGCATGTGGCATAGTTTGGGTCTTGTTGCGCTGGCGCTCCCTGCGTATGAAAGATGTGTTGCGCTTAGCGAGCAGGTGAAGAAGGAAGCACAGGACCAATGCATAGATGGGAATTGGGGGTGTGAAGATTTCAGCACCGACGCTGCATTTGCGATGCAGAGTATCTATGCCATCAGTGGAAATTTTGAGGGCGCGTTGGAGGTTACGATGAAGTCGCTAGTCATTGAGTAGATTAAGAACCATGGCTTGCATGGTGTGGGTATCCTGAACTAGCAACGGTGATTGTCCTTCTCTTTGGAAAATCTCATGTACGCCGCTGTACAATCGAAAATTCAAGTTCCATTACTGTTTGCTGTTAATTCTTCGGGATTGCTGTATGTAATTGTATAACGCTTCTTATTTCTTGTGATTATTCTTTTGCTTTCGAGGGTCCCGCATGCGCTTGGAGGAGTTGCGTGAATGAAGACATGACGTAGTATGGTTTTCAGCAGAGTCATGAGTTGATTGCTCTCCGGGAGAGCCGCAGTAAACAGTGCAAGTATGCCATATCCACCTAGTCCATCTCACTGCATAATTTTCTAGTGAATTGCCATTTTCCCTGTTCTTTGCATGTGTTTCTTAGAGCTCATTAGATCGCGTTTTTTTTGTGCACGAAACCCCATCTATGACTGGTCGTAATATGCAGCTAAAGCTGCAACAAACCCTACATTACTTGATTTCCCACCCGTCTTCCTTCCGTTTGCAGTACATCCACGACCCAGGGCCTCCGTCAAACCTGAGACGATAAAAATCTTGTCCCAACTTTTCAATCGAATAGCCATTTTCTTCACCGTCCGCGAGCATGTTGATCACGTCGACTCGCTGATTAACGAAGAAGAGCATCAGTCCTTTTACCCTGTTCCAACGCCTCCCAACAGTTTTTATGTTTTCTTTCGTGATTACGCTTTCGAGGTCGCAATTTTTGAGAAAGGCTAATGCCACATCTTCTGAGCTTTGCTCCAGAACATACTTCACTACCGATGCGGCGATTGGTAAATCTTCCCTTCGTCGACGCAGGAAGCATTTAATCAAGCAGTGACGACGGTGATTCTGAGAGTCCACAGCCCTGAGTGTATTCTCGGTGATTGTGATGTCTTCGCCTAATTCGTCGAGAAGTAGCTCGATCAATCTCACGGATTCGTGGCTCCTCTCGATTTCCGTAACGAGCTTGTATGGTTCTACCACGGCCTCATTTCTGCCCTGATTTTGAAGAATCCGAGCTAAAAACAGTGTGTTTTCACCATTTTCTATGACTTCTTCTACCATCTCTTGTGTGATTCTGACGTTTTCTCCCCTCCGACTCAAAAGGAACTTGGTCACCTCAACAGATCGATCTTTCCTTCTGATGGCTGCTACAATCATCTTTTGTGTAATCTCGACGTCTTCCCATGAGTCAAGCAAAACTTCTATCGCTTCCAGGGGAATCTTCGAAACGGTCGCTGTCAATACCGTCCTCTTACTCTGTTCATCTACCTTCCACAGATTGACAAGGACCATTGCCACATACATGCAATATTCAGCACGAGCAGCCTCCAAGACTTCTGTGGCAAGCACAACCCCAAACTCATTTTGTACGACCAGATGAGAAAGTATTGCGAGGCTTCCATTTTTAGCCGCGAGACCTCCAAGACTTTGCCGTCCGCTAGTTTTGTATTGTCCTGTAAGTGCTTCGCTGACAAAAAGTTCTTTTTCCAATTCTTCGAGGTCAAACGTGCAGGCGATAAATAGCCCTAAATACTGTGGTGGCAAGTCGCTACAAACCAGAATCTGATGTTTTGGGAATAGGTACTGAGTGTGAAATTCATACTTGAGATCGACAACATCCTGCATCCAGAGAACCATGGATGAACTCTTCCCTTTGTCTCTTTCATCCAAGAACATATGTTTCAAAACGACGCTCAGAGTGCCCAATTTTCTACAATGTCCCGCTGCTCTGCAGTGAATAGGCCAGTGATATCGTGCATAATCAAGTGCTTCAATTACAGATGGTTCAGTCTCGAGTTTCCAGCCAACATGACGGAAAAGCTTTTGGGTTGCTGGGGTTGGTCTTTTACAGAGAACGATCCAGAGACAGGCTTCCGCTATCATGCTGTTGGGCGATGGTTTACTGAACTCAGGTCTTCCTTCCAAAAATTCTCGCACGGACAGATGTGCGAATCGAAACGTGTCAAGCAGTGAGTCATGAACAATGAAGTTGTTGCAGTATTCAAGAATCGTTTCTCGAGAGACTGGGATTTTTTGCCTTCATGGGGAATTGTCGTTACCGCGGCTAGGAACTGTTTGGTTCGAAGCGTCATTTGAGCTGATAACAACCAGCACAGGGTGTTTTTAAAAATAGCCTGTCGAGAGCTGCCTGGCATTGTTGAAAGCTTGTCATAGACTTGATTATACTGCTCACGCAGATCGGGCGGAAGTCGGCCCATGGCATCCCTAATGTCGTTGTCTTCAGTGAACAAACAAAGATATTGCAATTGCATGCTGGCCCAGCGAAACCTAAGTAAGATGTCAGAATTAAAAAAAATTGAGTATATGTAACCAGACCTACATTCCATGAGCACTTGCGGTCGTTTTGGAAATGATTAGCTCCTTGAGCTCATCTCGCGAATTGCTATGGCATAGTAGTTTTCTACGGCTAACTAGTTGTTCTGTCTCATTCTTGACAAACCGCGCAATATCTCTCCCGTTCATCCTAGAGTCAAGCTTTAGATTTGGGTAATTTTTCAGCTGCAATACGATGTCTTGGTCATTTCGGCTCGAAATGAAAATCTTGACCAGGCTAGAAGCGTTTTTGAGAATCATCTCCAGATACTCAAGTAGCTCCCATCGCGTCCCTGGATCGCATTCGTCCATGGCATCTATGATGATCGTCGTCTGGGGATATATTTCGATGAGCTCCGTGATGAGGTCGCAAATTTCTGTCATTTCGGGCTGTCCGGACGCAAACCCTTGGCTCTCTTCGCTCTTGTACATATCGACTGTAGGTTTTAGAAGAGACATCCCCAACTCTGTGTTTGATAGTTGGCGCGCAATACTAGCAAGTATCCCTCTTGGACTTGACCGTAAAGGCTCTGCTGGATTTCTTGAACAGTAGAAGAATACTGGTTGTTGGCTATTTCGAGCCTGGAAATTCTTCATCGCATCTTCGATTACAATCGACCTGATAGCATCAGCAAATTCTTCACGAACACACGGTGTATGAGAATCTCACACCAGTTTGCTCTTGCCCGATCCAGCGATCCCATGAAGCCATAAAATGGAAGATGCACTGTCATCCCTCCATTTCTTGAAGATAGCGTCATCTAGAAGCCAAGTTCCGGTCCCAGCTAGGAGGTCTTTCTTGACTTGTTTGTGGTGACCCATGTAAGGCTCAGAGGAGAGCCATTGAAGAATCTCCGTGCGCTCCGATCCTGCATATGTGAGCTACTTTTCAATCGAACACCACAGTCACTCACTTTCAAGGTTATCTTGCACATGCTCAAGATTTCGATCGATTCTTTTCAGTGGCCCATCCATGGAATCCAGTAGAGCTGCTAGCCTATTGTTTTTGTCGATACTATCTGCCAAAATTGTTAGTGGATTTGATGATTCAAAGCAGCCAGCTCCCTCCACAAACCCATGAGTAACCACTAGATATTGAAGACCATTTCAGCTATTAAAACCAAACATACTTTCACATTCTAAGTCGCGGAAATAAGCTTTCAAATTTAAGCACCGAAGAAACTTTTTAAAAAAAAAGCAGGTAAGACTAACCATTTCTTTCAGCCAAAGATATCCAATTCTTTACCTGTTCTTCTGCTCTGTGGATCTCTTCCAGAGTTGAATCCAACGATTTGTCGAAAAGAAGAGCGCTCTTTATCATTCTCTCTAGTAGTTTTCGTTAATAGATATGTTCTCTACGTCGAGGATGAAGCTTACTGGCAGTCCCCTGCCCAAAATATGCTATTACGTTAGATAGGTGGACAAGAATTTTTGAGTACAGTTTAACCAAAGCTCTCTGAAGCGCTTCGTGAGCCGTTGATGAATCGAAAATATACAGAGCTTCTAGGATGGTATAGCGGCAAATCAGCTCAGATATCCAGGCAAGATCTTCCATGACCAAGGATATTTTGTTCGTATCGTTCAACGCAACCTAAAACTGTGTCAAGATATTTCTTAGAATTGGAAACTAATGAGTCACTCACCTGCAAGATGAAGCGAATACTCGCCCAAGGAAGCGCAGCATGTGTGGGGTCGTACTGAACAGCCACATCTCCAATCTCCTTGAACACATCAAGCCATCGAAGAAATTTCTCCAAAACATCCCTAATTATGACCGTTTCTCCGCTCTTGCGAGTGTATTTCCATCTCGATATCATGAACTGATCTCTTGATGCTTCGGCCTTCTCACGTAAGTCTTTGAGAATATCGATCTTCTCATGTTGGGCAAAGTTGATTCCGTGCTTGTGTTCGGCAGGTAACTGGGCAATAGCCTCAGTCCAGAGACCGGTGCTGAAGCGACGAAAAGTATCAGTAGACGTATGACTCGATGATTTGCTCAATGGACATACGACGTTTTAGATTGTGGAACAACTAATGTAGCCATGGTATAGATAGGCTATGAGAAGCAGGGTTTGTGAGGAGGCAATCATGCCGTTCTAGGGTTCTCAGTGGGAGAGGACTAAGGCGTTTTGCAGTAGTGCCTGCATAGATGATATTCGGTGATTATGGTAGCCAGAAAACTCTTGCTCGTGCGTTTAGGCGGAGATAGATCAACAGGTGAATTCTTGATTGTAGCAAAGATGCGTGATAGGAAGAGGAAGAGAAGTGTTGGATCCTTCAGCCTTGCCATAGGGTGTGCTGTGAGCTGAAGGTGGCTGTGTTATTGTACTACGTACACGCAACCCCGCAATTGCCAACAGCAAGGCTGGCAGCGCTGCTTAACCACATTAGACCTGCTACTCTTTTCAGTACAACTTGTGCATCTTCCACGAAGAATCGACAGCAAGCAGTAATTGAACCTGAACTTTGGATTGTACAGCGGCGTACATGAGTCTTTCCAAGAGGAGAACAATTATCATTCACTCGAGCCGATCTACTTAGAGAACAACATGAGAAGCCTGTGGGGAAAAAAACAGTTACTTCGCAAGCAAGCGAGCAAAGATACCCGCCATAAAAGAGTGTACTCCCCTTCGAAAAAATAGAGACGAGATCAAATCAATCATTCCATTCATCATCTATCAACCCCCCCTCTCTTTCCCGCACCCAAGCAGCTCACCCCTTCCTAACCCCCCAAACCCCCCCACCAACCCTCATCACCTTCCCTTCTCCCTCCAACTCCTCAAGCAAAACCCCCACCTCCTCAGGCCCATGCGGAAACCCTCCCTGAACCATCATGCGCATCATCATAGCAATGCGCCCGACATCCATATTCCCCTGATTCGTCAGCATACCCATGATAAACGCCGTATACACATGTTTCTTCTCATTCAGCATCTCAGATTGTGATTTGATGGTCGTGGTGGCGACACCGGGGTCTGCTTGCAAGGTCGCTAGTTCTTCTGCGGCGGCAGCGGCAGCGTCGGCGTCGTGGGCGCCGGTTTGCGAGGTGGGTTTGGGGAGTGACTCGATAACGGAGTAGGTTGATGGTGGGTGGAAGCGGAGGATGGATTTTCCGACCCAGAAGCTGAGGGCTTGGTGCACAAGGGATTCGTCCATTTGGAGGAGGGATTCGAGTTGGGAGATTGTGCGGGTTGTGCCTTCACCGGTTTTGCTGGCTGCAGTGTTTTCTTCTTCGCCCGGTTGCGGCTGGAAGGCGTGGATGACGCTTACTTGCCAGGGGGTGAGATTGTCAAAGTCTTCGGTGCGGTCTTCAAAGGTGAGGGTTATAGAACTAGTGCCCAGGGCGTTCATCCAGCGGAGCTTGCGCATGCCTTTGATACGTTCGAAACGTGATTCGTACTCTTTCTGCAACGCACTGATTTGTTCAGGTACTTGGAACGTGTCGTCGCGGAGTTGTGGCCAGAAGAATGACGATAAAATCTGTGCGTTGAGTGTTGGGCCTGGAGCTGGTGCAGAAGTTGGACCAGAAGATGTAGCCTTCTTGGCTGACCTTGCTGGCCGGCGAGGCCGTGGCGTCCGTGGTTGTCGGCCATCTGGCGTTCGAGGTTGTCTACTACGCTGATCTGGTGTGACCAGCGAGTTTGAAGCTGGTGCGCTAGAAGTTGTACGTATCGTGCTGTTGATACGTCTGGATTCTAACATATCGCGAAGCATGACTTCACACGCCTGTAGCTTATCATCTCCCAGCCGCACCTTGATAAGCTCCAACAGTCGAATCTCTTTCTCGTACTCTGGATCCTGACATTTGAGCAAATGCTCTCCGTAGATATTCTTGAGCTCATTGATAAAGTCGTCCCTCTCCCACAAAGTCAAGAGGAACCAGATGACATCTTCGACCTTTGACTTCTTGTAGTCGGGTGACGCATCTTGCGGGAGCGGCTGCCAATTCATGTCGTTCCAGTTGAGTTCTTCGTCGGCATCTTGTCCAAAACTTGCAATTGGCTTAGCCATCTCACTTGCAATTTCGTATGATAACTCGCTGTTGGAAGAGAATTTGCTGCCCGTATCATCTTTGAGATCAGTGAGAAGACTCAGTATGATGATACGGGCTGTATTCTCTCGGTCCTTTAGATACCGCCGAATTGGTCTTGCTACTCGTTCGAGCAACACTCCCTTAGGCTCTAGCTCATGGAAAGAACGAATAATGGAAATGTACACGTTCAGGATGTATGTCGTCGTAGCCCCAGGATGTAGCAGACGTCTTGAGACTTGCTGCGAAAAGCTCGACGTAAGATGTTGTTTTGCATTTGCCACCTTGAGATACTCTTTGATGTCTAAGATGGCGCCCATACTCTTGTCCCAATTGATGACGAAATCAAACAAGTTGTCGACTCGCGCTCTACCCAACCTGCCCAGCGCCATCTCCTGCCACGAAGACACTTCAGTCGGCAGGATGCTACTCTGTTCGCATCTCAGGCATTCCAATACTAGTTCGACGAGCGGGCAAAAGCCGTCCTGAATCCACATCTTCAACTGCGGCACAATCGTCTTCTTGGAATACCAGTCAACCTTGAGATAATGGCTTCCTATAAAGGAATCAATTAGCTTTGTCATGGCATGGGCGAAGGCCTTTTGGGCACTGTCACCACCAAGTCCGATGCGCTCCAGCCCTTGTAGTAGAGTCGTCATTCGCTTCCTCGTCTGTTGCGTGTCATGAGACATATTCCTCGTCTCCACGCCATCATGTCGGTTGTAGATGCGGAACAACCTACATCCCGCATCGTACAAGACATAACTCAGCGTCTTCGAGTATCGTTGCCGAGGCAGGCAGTACGCAAACACAGCTTGTATATCGCTTCGAAACTTCCAATCCGCTGCGCTCGCAGCATCAGACTCGTTCGTCTGCGTATGCGTGTTCGGATGAAGCGTCGAACTACTTGCGTTCTGTTGTATAACTTGCAACAAGTGCTCGGTAAAGGGTTGAAGGTACACGTTCTGGGCCTGTTCAAGGATATGCTGCGTCTTGTCGAGTAAATCCCAAGCACAGCGCAGCTCAACCTCTTCCTGCCAGAGCTGCTCCAATCCCGGCCTCACATGGTTTGCAAAGTGCAAGCGGCACTCATTTGTATACCATTCCACCAGGCTTTCTTCATTGGCGTCCTCAACCTTGCCTTCTCCAATAAGCAAGTAGTTTAGGGCATCCTCAATCTCCCTTGTCCTTTGCATTCGTGGGAAAATAGACACATCCTTTGGCAAGCTCAGGAATCTCGTCGCACAGCTCCACGCGCTGTTGCGCCTGACCGCTCGGTGTTGGCCTTGTCCTTGACCTCGGGCATCGGTATTGCGCAGAGCATAGGGATTCCCAAATGAAGTGCCTGGCGCATTAGAGCCCAGATCCGGTGTTGCAATCGGTGTAGGCGTGCTGTGCGAGAAGGAGAGGACGGGGAAGACGGATGCGAAGACTAGGGTTGAGTGGTCCATTGCGGAGGTGGTGCGGAGGCCCCGCTATGCGATTGTTTACCGGTGTGTCTGATGTAGCGTAGGCGGCTTCATGAGCATGCGAACCACGTGAGGGGTACTAGATCTTTTCTTGGAATTGGCTGCTTTCTTGCCATATCGTTTGGCAAATCGTTGTCGCAGGGAGGGCTGGTTTCGGTCTGCCCGCCTACGCAAGGGTCCGGCGCGATCCCACATGGAGCACGGACCAAGTGCAACGCGTATTCACGTGGTAGTTATAGTACTATGTCTGTTGCAGTAAAAAGGGCAGGGCACTGACATGACTTCGAGTTTGCCAATACAACGTTACCGAGTTACAGTCCGAAGACATCATATCTTGAATAGCCACTGTCATCGTAAAACTCTATTACTATATAGATGTGGAAAGCGCGCACCGCCATTGCACGCTCTCAGTTCCTTTAAATCCGGGGTCCTGAGACCATGCCTAGTATCATGCAGCCCGACCAAGGATATCTACCATATACGCCATCCGACGCCGTTGCTCCATTGCATCATCATTAAAATATCCTGTGAAATACTTACAACAATTGCCAATACCTGTGTCGTAGTCTTGTCTTCATCATGGTCTCAACACACCATGTCGCCGTCTGAAAGCCTCCACTCGCTCCTCATAGAAGAGAATCTCTCTGACCCTGAGCTTTGGACCTTTCTGCGAGTCCTGTATAAAGGACTCATCATCGCTGTCCCCCTCCGCTTCGTCGCTGACGTCGCTTTCCGTCTCGTCACCGCCAGGCGGTACTGCACCTTCATCCATGCTGTCGTCGTCGTCATCCTCGGTGGCTTCGCTCTCGTCATCAGATAGCATGGGATCGTGTGTGGCGTATGCAGAGCCACTGCCATCAGTGTGCATGCCGTCATGTCGCAAGTCATAGTTCGATGGCCGGTTCTCCAGGATCTCAAAGCATTTCGTGGACAGACCCATATAACACAGTTCGATCTCTGGTCGCAAGTGCACAATGTCGAGAATCTGGTAAGCAAGCTCACGCGGATCAATGTTGCTTCCATGAGCGTGGTCGGCTATAAATGGAATGTACAAAGAGCGGATATGAGGAATATACGGAAGACGTTGGAGGAAATGATGCTGCCTGATGTGAGCCAAGCCCTTCGATTAAGGTAAATATAACATACCCAGTCTTTGTAGTCAATGGACACTGCCAGTTCCCGTAGGCTGTTCATGCGACCGCTGGTTATGAAGGTCAAGATTTCCCGGTTCAGCATCCACCGTCTCCACCTGGAACTTGTTGTTGTGTGCCCGTCAGGCCCCTTCTCCCCACTGTCAATCATCAATTTCTTTAGACTGGCTCGGTGTCTCTTCAAAGGCCCTTTGTATATCGCATCTACTGTTACAGGAGATGAGTACAGCCGGCCTTCTTGGAGGAAGAGAACCTCGAGGCTGTTGGGTGCCAAAGTTTCTTTTAGGAAAGAAATGAGCGATGGTGAGACTGTGTTGGTATGAATCCGCTTCAGGTTCAGTTGATATTCACAGCGCAGAGTATACGAAGCCTTGTATGCTTTTGACGATGATGGCGAGCCAGGATAGGCAGAGCGAGGCGTGTATGCTCTTCTCAAAATTTTCCACAATTGTTCGTGATTGCTGCAGTTCAAAAGAGTCAGGGTAGATAGTATGGACCAATCAAAGGCTCTGCGCAACACAGGGACAGAGAGGGGGACCCGTTCCAGCTCCAAAACCTCGAGCTTCAGTTGACCAGTTAACAAGGGCTCTGCAGGATCTTGAGATGGGTCTTGCGCATTAGTGTTTTGCCTATGGGGTGAAGGCCTTGTGTGAGCCTTGGAGGCTGGCTTGTCTTGATCTGCCGGCTGCGGGGCCGGCTCTGCACCTGCGGGTTGGTCATCGTTGAACAGACTTACTCCTTCGGTTATAGACGTGTCGTCCATCGGGTTACCAAAGTGATCCACATCTTGATCGGCTTCGCGTTCATGCAATGAGAGCGAGGCTATGGATGGCAAAGGCTGTGATACAGCCGATTTCATCGGTGTTGCTTCAACTGACCGCTCTGTAACCCCCGCACCGCCCTGTTTTTGGGAAGGCGGGTCTTCTGAATGACGCATATTGTGTATACGTCCAACGAGAATACCCAACACACCGCCCAGTCTCTTTTCGCCTATTGAGCACGCTGCCGTTGATGTTGTGCTGTAGTCGACCTGCTGTAGACCTTCACCTTCCCACACGGTCACCCAGTCCCGTTGCTGAGCATGCACCGCGATTCCAATCCTGAGTTCGCGAAGCTTCTTCTGTGACCGTGCAATCAGAATGCTCATTTCATCGAGGTACGGCAGTTCGTCAATATCGAGGACACTCAAGCTTTTTAAAGCGGGGATCACGGAGAAGGTGGGGTGTTCGACTCGTTCCACCACGGACAAGCTTGTAGGTGGGTATTGTGGGACTGGAATAATGGGCAGTTGAACGGTGCCGAGGCCGCTTGGATGTGTAGTGTTGGGAGGCGGGGGCAGATTCTGATTGTTGAGAATCATAGGCGGCGCTGGCGGAGGAACTGGCGCATCGATAGTGTTATCATGCCATCGGATCCAGAGCCGTTCAAGACGGCATTCTTCACCGTCACTACGGTGTGCGAGACTCGACAGCGCCAGCCAAACATCGCGAAGCACACCAGTTGGCATGTCCCACACAAACGTCTCGAGGTTGATCATGCGCGCAACGGCAAGCGCTACCAATGTGCCCAGCATCTTGCCGCCCTCCTTGGTGATCATGTACTCTTGGACCCATGCCTGCGGCCCATTGCCCAGCGAAAACTTCTTTGTAAACTGTCCATAGTAGTTTCCGAATCGGCGCTGTGGGACTGGGTATGGGTTGGCGGCGGTCCTTAGGAGTGAAGTTGGCGTCTGTCCCTGCAGTCTCAGGCGGTGCTGGTGGGGGAAGCAATCATCGCCCATGACCAGCGTCGCGAGGCCGTACGTGAGAGCGTCAACGCCAGCACGGGGCTCGTTGTGGGTACTTTCGTCGGGCCATACAATGTCGAAGCGCGAATAGATGCATGGTATGGTCAGCCGGTGAAGGGCCGAGTGGCAGAGACATAGCGACGTCAAGTCGTTGGTATGCGGAAGCTGTAGAGTGACTGGTCAGCATCCCCGCGCGCCATGGGGGGAGGACGATGGAGGCTGCGCCTGGTGGGGGATGTCTACTCACCTGGTGGATAATTTCTTTCAAAATATCCACGGGCAGATCCAGCAGCTTCAGCGGGCCCTTTGAAGCCTTTGCCTTGCCCTTTTGTGCTGGCGCCGGGTCAGTCAAGGGCGGCGCGCCCACGGCACCCGGCGCAGGCGTACTCGTCCACACGTCCTCTGGCGATGGCTGGGAGCCCATTAGTTGCGCATCGTCCTGCGAGGGCGAAAATGAGCGAGCAAAGTCGGCGTCTGAGGGCAGCGGCGACGCAGTGGTGGGCGTGCCGGGGGTAGAGAGCGGGGAGTCGGCCATGATGTGGTGAGTCCAGCAGCAGTACTACTTGCGGCATACAAGGTCCCTGGAAAGGGTGGAGGGCCAGGCGCAGAAGCAGCACGGCAGTCGTGCTCCTACATGTATGGACGTGAGATGTGCGCAGCCGTCAAGTTTGGGTGTTGTGGTGGTGCTGCCAATCGACGTGGACGGCCAAGAGACCCTGGTTTATCCCGGTGCACATCCGCCCTGCCTTTCCTTTGCATTTGCACATCACACCAGCCTGGTTTCCTGCGCAACCGCCGCCCGCGCCGCCACCTTGCCTCGCACGCCATCCCCCCCACCACCACATGAGCCTTCGCCCCGGCCACCAGCCCTTGCTGGGCACATGCATCGGAGACAATCCCACACGACTCCATCCATGACACCACTCTCTCTGGTTGATTTGGAAACATGGACAATTCGCGCATGTACAATGATTGCCAGCGGAGCCACACCCCAGTCTGGATGTACTTATAGGAGCCATGCCACAGCAACTTCCACACTACATACATACATACATACATACATACATACATACAACCGTCCAACGCCCTTGTCAAGTGGGTATAAACAATCATGGAAACCCTGCCAAACTCCACGCCTCACTTTGCCATCAAACTCCCTGGTCGCCAGGAGAATGTCTAGTATTAGCGAAACCCTATTCGCGCCCACTTCTACTCCCTCCTCAACCCCGGCTCATGCTCAGCGCCGTCTGTCCCCGCTCGGGATCAGACATCTTGATAATCTTGACATCAGATGTCTGGTTGACCTGGCTCATCGACTGGGGCGTAATGAAAATAAACTGTCGGCCGATCGACCGCCGCGCTGCCTGAATAATCATGTTCATGCTCCGCTCGCGATTGACGCTGTCCATGAAAACATCGCTGCACCCTTTGTCAGTCTGCACAATACAACACGATCCTGGGCCTACTCACAACTCATCAAGGCAGCGGATTGGGGAGCCCATTGCATCCCACAGTGAAAGCAGAAGGCACACGGTCGAGTATGATTTCTCCCCACCCGAAAGCGTCTTTGTTTGCCTGCCATCCCCGCTTCGTTCCATGATATCCGGTTGAACCTGGACGGGGTCAGCAATGCATCAAACAAGAAGGCTCCGTTGCACGTACGTGGATGTCGAGAAGAGCCTTCTGGTGATCGATACTCAGAGTGCCCCTGAACTTTCGTTCGCTCAAGAGGTAATTGAAAGTGACGCGTGCTCGAACAGAGATACCAGATCTAAACTGCTTCCATCGGTTGCGTCGATTGTTGAGGGTGGTGATCAGTTGCTGGTACAGGTCAGCTAGGTCCATCAAAGCATCTGGCCTGACTTACGTTCCGCAAATCCCTGATGTTATCAAATTCCTGCATTGCATCCTTGTGTTGCCTCTTCGCTTCATTCGCTGCTCGTAGTAGCTCATCTTGCGACCCACCAAGTTCCTTCTCCGACGCTTTCCTCGTCGCCTCTAACCTTGCCAGCATCTGTCCAAGTACCTCAGAGCTCTTTCCTGCCGGCACAGGAACCCGCTCCGCGCAGACACCTCTAGCGCCTTCGATTACCTCCTCCAATTCTTTGCGTAACTCCTCCACACTATTTTCCCATTCCTTGCGCACTGCTTTTGCCCTTTCGACCTTAGCAATGGATTCGTTCTTCTCCCGGAGCTCATCCTCCCGCTTGCTTTGCAGTTGACGAACGGTAATGTCTGCCTTGTTCAGCTTGAACCTGAGTTCCTCGGCCGTAGCGTATTTCTTGTCCAACTCATCTTTGTTCGCTCGGTTCTCCTCATTCAGTTCGAATTTCCGTGTTTCTAAGTCTTCAAACACACCCTCGAGACTTTTGAATTTCTCTTTTGCAGTTTCAAGTGCTTCCTTGGCAACCTCGATGGCGGATGCGTCAGGAGTAGCCTCGCTCAGCTCACCTTCAAGCCGGTCCAAGTTATCCGAAGCCTGTTGCATCGCAATCTTGAGTGTTTTCTTCTCGCGTTCGTGATCAACTTCTCGACGCTTGCACTCATTGACCCGCTCTTGCAACTGTCTGGCACTCGCCTCAAGAGCTTGTATCTCTCCCATAACTCGAGTCAAACGAGTTCGCTCCTCTCTGAACATCGTTTAGCCTATTTTCCAGGAAACCTTGCACAACTACTTACTGAATTTGAGCATTTTGATCGACTTGCATGCGCAGATTTCCCGTGAATTCCAGGATCGGACTGTCGTTGACTTGGCCGTTATTGCTGTAATGGTATACTCGACCTCTTCGGGTATCGCCATCCGCGAATGTAAAGCACATTTTGACATTCTTGGCACGTGGCCCACCATCTTTTAGTAGCCTAAAGCCCTCTGTCATGTTTTCAAAAAGTACAGTTTGTTCTATTGACTGGTTGATGATGAGCTGGTTGCGAACAAGATCATCGTCAAACTAGGTATCTGTTAGCTAGAATCTCCTGTACAGTATTTACACACCTTGCGCTTACAGTCAATACTCTCATCCATGTTAAGAGATCCTTATCAGGCTCATGGTTACTTGTGTCAATTGGAGCACGTTTGCCAATGTATATTTGCGCGGACCTGGGGCTGTTAGTATGTCCTATGAAGCTTAGAAGCAAAACACGCACCAGCCTGTCCTGTTCATCAATGTGGACAAGACACTTTGATCATGCTTGCTAGTGACGACGAAGCCATTGAGCGCTTGACCAGACTGCTTTTCCAATATGCGGCCCCACTTAGGGTCTAGCAGCTTTATGTGATGGCCGATAGGTCCTACTGGCGACTCTCGAAACCGATGTTCCGACTTGATCGCGTCCAGTAATGCCTTGAGTCTACTGGGATTTGCAAATCCATCTATCCAGTCACCCTGGCCTCCTTCCAGCCTCGAGATGACGCTTCGGATGCGCTTGGCGTCTTCGCGCGCATTTTGGACTTTTTGATTTGCACTTGCCAGCTCTTTTTTAGCTGCTTCAAGCTGGGCCAGCAGTTGTGGGCGACTAACGTCATGGGATGCGTACGCCTCTCTGGCTCTGTCACACTCGACCATGGCTTCGTCACGTTCACGGACTTTCTCAGCGTAAAGACCGTTATCAGCTTGCGCCTGTCGCTGTCGGTATTGCTCTATTTGGTTTTCGTATTTCTCCACTTCTGATCGCTTAGCAGTCAACTCGCTTCGAGCTTGCCGTTCATCAGATTGAAGTTGTTTGAGCCCTGTCTTGACATGATCAAATCTTGCTTTGGCGTCTTGTACCTCTCGATCGACAGATCCTTTTTCCTCCGTAAGATCGGCAACTCTTTGTTTGGCGGCCTCGTAAGCCTGGTCAGCACGTTCATAGCGTTCTGCTGCCTCAGCCGCTTTCTGCTCCCGTTCTTGTATTTTAGCTTCCGTTTCCTCAACTCCGGCCTGTGCGTCTGCGACCTCCTTTTCTTTTTCCTGGACATGAGCCCATGCAGCCTGTCCTGCAAGAATGGCTTCCTTGGCCCGTAAAGACTCCAGATTCTGAGCCCTTCGCGCCTTCTTTTCCAGCTCTTCCATGTCGCGCCGTAAAACATTGAGATCCGCCTCCTTGACCTCGGCCTTCGCATTCATCACTTCTAATGATTGTTCAATCTGCTGATAGTCCCTATTCAGATTCTCGAGTTGAGTGCCTTGGAGGAAGAATTTGTACTTGTCCTTTGGAGTGGAATGATTGAGAAACTGCCTTGCCATATCCTGCGTCAAAACATTCATAGGATTGTCAATCTGCATAGAGAAGGCGTCCAGTATGTCTTCAAGCTCTGCTTTCTTGTTTGTGACAAGTTTGCCGTTTCGGTCCTTAAGTTTGAAGCCTGACGTGCCGGATCTGCTGAAGTGTCGCTCGACAATGATGGAGTCGCCATACTGTGAGGGCTTGTACGCAAGCGGTCCTTGGTTCTTAATCTTGACAGTAACAGAGGCATAGTCTTTGCCTTCTTTGATCAGGCTCTTGAGATTTTGTGCGCGATTGGTCGCTGTAGCCTTTCCACCCAAACATATCGTGAGCGCAGTGAGCACGGCACTCTTGCCACTACCATTGTGCCCTATGATGAAATTGATGAGCGGACCCAGAGTGACGGTCAAATGCTCATGGCACATGAAGTTTATACACTGAATCTCCTCGATTATGCCAGAATCCGTCGCGATATTTTGCCTATTCGCAGTCTCCCGCCGTTCTTTCTGGACTTGTTGTGTCGCCCATATCTCTTGTGCATTCCGTTCCTGTTCGTCTTCTGCATCCGAAGTATCGCTACCGCTCGCTGCACCAGATCGCTCGTCGGCGGAAGACTCTTCGCTGCTGTTTGGCTCAGATGGGCGAGGTCTTTTGTTCTGCATTTATGTGAACCAGGCTTTCGGTCGCATGTGGAAACGGTCAACCTACACGATTATCACGGCCAGTACTGTTGGAATTGACACCGTTTGTGTGGGCCCGCGGGCGTTTAGTGGACATGACTGCAGTCAGTACAGCATCAGCTGTGGTTGTAAAGGAGTGTGGTTGAAGGTGACGACGGGTAAGGCTGGATGAGGTAATTTGGAACGCGCTCCTTCCCCGCTAGGAGCGTTTACGAACGGCGCTAGTGCCCATGTCGCGCGCAGCGCCACATGCCACTTTATGCTAGGAATCGTAAATACGCTTTACTAAAGTAGATTGGTTAAAGAAGCACTAATGCGTGACCAACAGTCAAGTCGCAGATCTTACAATTGCGGGTTTATCAACCAGGGGGAGGGAGGGGGGAACTATTCACTCAAATGAGCATATGTGTATCACGTGATAGCGCGTTCCTACGCGTCTCTGTGGAAAACGTAATGCACATTTTAATAAATAGCGGATTATAGCCAAACAACGACAAGAGGCATAGAAACACATATCTAGTTGTTTTTGCTTAGGTTCAAATCGTCTATATAGGTATATTGCTTCAGGTTTTTTTGTGGAAGAAATCAAGATAAGGGGGAAAAGGAGCATCTACACCGAGACTGCCCAACAATGTGCAGTACCGTAACAACGAAAAAAAAACCCCTCGCTATGCAAAATTCGCTGGACAGAGTACGGTAACAATACTGAGTCTTTTTACATGACAACCTAATTTTCCTGTTAGTGAATGGTTCTTTAGAAAGCGACAAGATTGGTCCAGACTTACACAATCGCCATCCTTGGGTGCCTGTCCGATTCCCATCTCGTCGAACGTTTTAGGTCCCTTTCCTGGACCTGAAGAAGCCGTTGACGCAGGCTTGCTGGGAGGAGTCGGTGTAGCTGGTTTGCTTCCGGGCGTAGATGGTTTGCTCGCTGGTCCTGGCCCTGGCTTATGAGGTGGTTGTTGCTGCAAGGCTTGTACCCTGTTCGGATTGGGCGCATTGTCAGGCCCACCATGTCGGCCAGCTGAGCCAGGGCGTGAAGATGTCCTACTCTCCTGGCCTGGCTGGACTGTGGAAGGCCGGGTGTGTTGACGGGGCTCGAGAGGTGCGACATAACCGATATCAGGCAAAGTGGGTGCTTTCTGAAGCGGTGCTCCTGGCTGCTTTTGCAATTTGTTCCGCCCATCTGGCGCGCTGTATCCAATATCTAGTGGCTGGGTTGTTGATGGGCGGTTCTGCATATCTGGACGCTGAACGCTTGGCCCTCCAGGCTGCCTGTAGCCTGCTGGGCCACCTGGCGGTGGCTGTGCACCACGGCCAACGTTGGGGAGGCGTCCTCCTCGGCCCATGTTGTCCACGCTGGTATGAGGTCGCATTGGTATGGGTCCCATGTCTTGTCCAGGGCCTGGCCGTGGATTGCCACGTCCATATGGGTCATTTGGTGGGTATACGTTGGGGTTAATATTAAAAGCTGATGATGGCGGACGAGTGCTAGATGCTCTGATTTCCGGGGCAAATCCACCAGCCATGGTGGGACGTTGTGGACCTAGCCGTGGAGGGCCGTTATCCATTGGGTACGGTGCTGCTGTAGATGGACGGTCATAAGGTGCTGTCATGGGCGCATTTGCGATCATGGGAGGCTGGTCAGAGATAGGATACGGTGTCGTGCTATCGCCTCGGCCTGGTAGTCGACCACCTCCTGGTGTGGCAGGTGAGGCATCCGAACCGTAATCAGAAGGGCTTACATCGCTGATCGATGCCATAGGAGCATGGGGTTGCTGAAGCCGTGTTGGTCGCTGTCCCCGCATGGAGCCGTGCTTTGACTTGATCATGTTGATTGCGACGTTTTCATGGTCCTTCTTCGACAGTGTTCGTGATAATTTCGATATACTCTCTATACGTGCGGTTGCATCTTTGTTGCCGTTCTTCTCGGCTTTTCCATACCACTCGAGGGCTTTATCGAGATTGACTGGAACATTCATACCAATCTCGTGGAAATAGCCCATGGCAAATTCTGCAGTGGCCAGACCTGTCGCTGCTGCTCGTTGAGCATATTGGAAAGCCAGCTCCTCATTCTTGTTGAATTCTCCCTCGTGTCCACATAAGAACCACTTGCTAATAGCCATGTCCGCTTCAGGCTCACCCTGTCTGGATGCGAGCGCATTGTAGTGCAATGATAATGTAGGGTTGAACTCACAGCCCAAGCTGCAGAGCTCATAGGCAGAGCCCATTTTCAGCTGGGCTTTCGCGAAGCCAAGGTATGCGGCCTTCTCAATGTTTTGTCGTGCACCTTTCTCGTCATAAGCCAAGAATGCCTCAGGAACGCTGATCTGTGGAAGTTCGCGCGCTTGAAGCATGCCCAAGACGTAGGCACCTTGGGGAGCGTTCTCATCTGCAGTAGCAGCGGCCTGTCTGATAAGCTGAATACCCCGCGCGAAGTCTTGGGGTTGACCGTGCTGTCCGAGGAGTGTCATCATACCAAGACGGTAGTTGGAGGCTGAGTCACCCTGCTCTGCGCCAGCTTTGTAGTTTTGCAGAGCCTTGATAGGGTCGTTTGCCTGCTCGAATTGCATGCCCATTCGATACTCCGCCCTGGCATATCCTTTTGCGGCCGCACGAGAGTAGCATCGAAACGCCTCCTTTTTGTCGGCTCGAATGCCAAATTTGCCAAACTCGAGCCACATTCCTCGCATGAACATTGCCTTTGGGTGGTGCTGATCTGCCAGAAACGTTACCACGTTCATTGCATCCACACGTAGCTGGTGCTCGACTTGTGGTGTTGCCGGCCTGGCGCCCTGGATCTCGGAGATGCGCTGCTCGTGCAACTGCGCAGCATCCACGTATTGTAGGGCATCTTGTGCCCAAGCCAACTGCATCTCGGGATCGTTCGAGTTGAGGACAGGCAGGCGCGCATTTTCCAAGACTGCTTCCTTTTCATCGTCGGACGGGGGCACATTGGGCGGTCTGTTTGGGAGCTTGGGAAAGGGGGAGAAATTGGGTGCCTCGTGATGCTGCGCAAACTGGTTGTAATCGTGTGAGGGCTGGTGCTGAGGTTGGACAGGCTGAGGCTGGACGTTGGGTGGTTGTCGAAAGGCAGCGGAGATGCTTCCTTGTCGGGATGGCCATTGATCGTCGTGTGCGGGCAGCTCGTTGGGGTAATTGGCCTGGCGCGGAGAGAACTGCTGCTGCGACTGATTGTAGCCCTGCTGCGTTGGCGACATTGCGCCGTTGATGCCTCGAGGGCCGTTTGCCTCCAACTCTAGATGTGCGATGTTTTCTTGCATGTTCTCGGGCACTTCGGGCATGATCCTGCCGCCAAATCTACGTCAGCCGCAATCTTAGGGCCTGTATGTGGTGGTGGGCTAGAACGAACCGCTGGGGCGCAGGGGAGATGACTTCTGGCGAAGGAGCCGGCATATAATAGTCATCGATGCCTCCTGGCACAAAAGTCGCCCCTAGCTGGGGCTGGTTGTGGTAGTAGCTCATAGTGTGGCTAGGAAATGTCAAGCCCAAGACGCCGTGGCTGCTTGGGAGGTTAGCATCAGCTCCTGTGCAAAAGAGACCTGTATAGCCATGCAGGCCCCCGCCATATAATAAGCCACTCTCGCATGATGGGGTTCCGGAGGCCTTGAATGCATGCCGAGTGACGCGTGGACCAGGAAATGAGCGTACCTGGACTTTGGTGGGGTACGACGGTACGACCCTGAATCGCTGTCGCTAATAGCTGTTCCCTTGCCCGCAACCCGTGCGGTCCCCCGGGTCTCGTATACGAGGATGCGGGCGATCTTGTGTAGGCGTATGTCGCGTAAGGCTCAGGGAGGTGTATTGATGGCGGATGGTGGCGGCGCTGGCGAGGGTTGGGCGCAGGGGCACAGGTGGGTAGTACGGGTCGAGGGGCGGAGTTGGAGGGAGAGAGAGCGAGAGACGAGAGAGGGAGCGAAACACGCAGCGATCAAGAAGTGAAACAGGCGTTGAAGTGATCGGGGCTTCTAGATTCTGGGCAGTAAAGGGTGCCGTCGCTTGACGTCAAGTTCAAGTGCGTTGCCTGACTCTGCACACACCCGCGCACTTCCCAAGGTCACAAGAACACAAGCAGAAGACCCTTGAACGGATGTGCATGGGTAATAACGTCAGTTGTGTACAAACCCCAGGCTCACATCATCTATAACTATCTCGGTGCATCTGGCGCTTAAAACATGATACGCGGATTGGGCTGCGCCGCTGCGCCATACCATGCCTGGAGGCTGTGCACTAATAGTATTCGGCGTCGCGTCACCCCTTTTGGCCTCTCTGGCACGACTTCTTGGGCGTTTGAGCTTGTCAAACTCCGGGTCTAGCGGCATGTTGAGCGTTTTTTCTTCTGCGGAGATGAGACATTACGTACCCATGTCCATATGTATTCGGGCGCAGTATTGGCTTGCGTGGCTGCATATGTTCATGTCTTTGCTACTATGATTAAATCGAGACTCGGGGTAGAGAGGGATCACAAATATAGGTCCACCATGATCATCATCATGCTTGGCATCGTACGTTGTTATTTCGTGACAAGGGGAAGACAATATCCTGTAGATAGTGGCTACAGGCATGTCAAGTGTATACATATCTTGAAGACGACCCAGCCAACACCGCCTGCCGCTTTTCCAAGGCATTCGCAATGACGGGTTTGCAAAGTCAAAAAGTGGCCTGAACGGGGCACAGTTGCTGCTTAGTGCACCATGACATCTGCGCCATGCTGTTGTTGTGCAGCACCGCCAGACTGTTGGCCGGTTGCCTTGTCACCGCTGGCAGCACTTGGCTCGGCCTCATCCATTTCCATGTCGTCGTCTCCGCCCTCCTCGCCCTCTTCCTCCTCGTCATCTTCCGAGTCTTCAATGTCAATCTCCTCGCTACCAGCCTCAGACTCGGCGTCGTCGTCGTTGACAGGGCCGGCAGTGTCCTCAGCACCTGCCATGGCAGCATCCTCACCCTCGGCAGCGGCACCCTCAACACCCTCGTCCTCCTCCTCTTCCTCCTCCTCGATACCGTACTGGTCTCCGTCGGCAGTGAGGTCGGCCTCTGGCTGCTCAGGGGGGAACTCGGGTGGCGCAGACTCTTCAGAGTCCCTGGTGGGGTTAGCGGCATTGAAGAGTGCTTGTACGGGTGCCTAGACATACCATTTGATGGCAAAGCGGGTGACTCGTGGCTTCTCGGCAAGAATTTGCCTCTGTACCTTCTCGATGACAGGCTTGGTGGGAGGGTCTAAGGCGAGCGCCTCATCTGTGTACTCGTTGTTCACGTAGTATCCGACACGGACGAACTCGCGCTCATCGTAGCTGCAGCTGAGCAGAATAACGGTGACGCCAATGATTTCGCTGTTGGGAATGCGCGATAGATCCGGGGGATCGGCGCGGAATTGGAACTTGTTGACACCGACTGGCAGAGGCCCAACAAGGACCGAGTCGAGTTCCTGGTCATACTCGTTTCTGGCACCCGTTAGACGCGGTCAGGACAATGGGCGGGGGCGGCTGATGGACTCACGAGGTCGCGGAGCCAACATAGGTCAGCTTCCATTCAAGGTCTGTGAATGCGTGTTAGCAGGGGCAATGGACACGCTGGACGAGGGCACTCACCTTTTTGTAGTTGCTCGAGGCATTCGAATGTGATTTCAAACTCGTAGGGCTCGTCGAAGCGCGCGGGGTTGTTCTTGACCTCGACGCCGAGAAGCGAGACGACAGACATGTTGGGGCTGGACGCGGTGGACTAGGTAGGGGGCAGGGTGAGAAGACGAGGGAAGAGGGAGAGTGCAGAGGCAATTGAATTGGCGGGTGTCAGGCGTGTGTGCGTTGGTGAAGGTGGTAGTGGGGGGCAGTCCACAAAAGAGACAACGAGAAAAGGTGTTTGTTATGGAAGCGGTGAGGACGTGCGTTGGAAAGATCGCGGCGGCAACCATCCAGTGGGGATCAAAGGCCGCCCTGTCGCGAGTCGCGTGGGCTCGAGAAACGTGACTGGGCGTTTTGGTGTTCGCGTCTGGTGTAACTTTTGCTGCCATCCATTGTTGCCCATGACCGGCATGGTCAGGAACCGCTCGCCGTACAGTGCCAGGGCAAAGACAGCCTCCTCATGTCGTGACACTCTGTCTGACCGTGTATATATGTATGTATACATCATCGTGGCCCAGGTCCAGTCCATCGGCATTAGCCTCAGCAGGCTCAGGAACGCCACAACCACGACCCAACCAATTCCTCCAAGACACTACATGCACATGCTTAGTACTTATGCTTACAGAATCCAACGGCTGCCTGCTGGAGTCGGTCCGGATAGATCGCCAGCACCAGAGCCATGCGTTCTCCTGATATGGTTCTCACTCGCCATGTATATACGAAACGGACCACCATGATGCCCACCCTCGATGAACAAGGCGCTCCCAGCTGTCTGCTTGGTACAGCTGGTCGGGAAACTTTGTCCACGCTCGCACAAGCCATCAACATGGCAATACCACAACAGACGACTTGGCCAAACAAGTAACTGGACTAGATGACGCTGACGAACATTGATTTCTGTGTACTACTAGTAGCAGTCGTTGATGGTTCCGGGAAGCCGGCGTGGGGCGGCTGACGGCCTGGTGCACCCGCCGAGAGGATTTCCGCGTCTCGCCTGGTCGGAGGGAGTTTGGGGAGGCCCTAGTTAGGACAAGGTCATGAGGGGGTCCTCGTCCTTGTCGGTGCGTCCCAGGCAACTCCCTCCTTTGCATCAGTTCTGCTGCCGTCTGGAGCCGCGATCCCCTAGATGTACTACCTACCATCTGCATCATCCTCTCCACCATCTCGACAGTAGCCCTCCTGCAGCCGTCAGAAAACGTAAAGACGACTGGCAGCTAATGTACGCAACGTTCGCTTCCCGCTTAGTCGGTTCTTTTCCCCGTCGCTGATTTGCTCCCCAGCCATTCTGGTTCGCATCTTACGTCCGTAAGGCTTTCTACCCTACCCTACCTACCTGCACCACGGTCCCACAACCATCTCAACCCGTCATGTCCAGCGCGTCCCTGCCAAGCTTGGACGGCACGCAGTGGCCTAGTCAACTGCCTGGCTTTGAACGCAAGACAGCTCAAGCTCAACCGCGCGTTCGCCGCCGCAATCGGTTGATCACTTCGTGTCTTGAATGCCGAAGAAGAAAACTAAAGTGTGACAAAGCCCAACCATGCACACACTGTACCAAGAACTCTCGGGCATGCGTCTTCATTGCCCAAGGCCTAGATCCAGATGCGCAAGCAAAGCTCGCAGAGGTCAAGGAGCAGATGGGCATGCTGGAGAGAAGTCTCGAAGAGGGTGTCGTTCGTAAGACAGACTCAAACAACAGAGGCCCTTATGATTTCTCCAGGCTGAGCGCACTCCCCGGTCAAATCCACCAAAGTGACCAGGAAGAAGATGAGGACACCAAGGACCTTCGTCCAACCGGTTTTGTTACCGAAGACGCTACCTATTACGAAGACGAAGATGATACCAACGATGACATAGTCGATCTCGGCTTCCGCATGGGTAAGATTCGAATAACAGAGCGTATTGGAGGTCTCGTGCGTCCAAAGTTCTCGGACGAAGTAAGTTTCCGCATCCCTCGGACCGCTTATCATCAATTGACATATTTGTTTTCCAGCTGGCCCAGCACATAAAAGAAATGCCCCTACGCGAAACGCCCTCCCAGCCAACTATCGAGGAAGATCCCACTTGGTTAGCACCAAGTAAGGACTATGTCGCCCCATCATCCAACTTCATGCTGGCTTCCGGGCTCGATAACGCATCACTCGTGTCCTATCTGCCAGCACGGTTCATTGTCGATAAACTTATCGCACATTACTGGGTCGCCGTGCATGTCGTTGCTCGAGTGGTCCATCGCCCCTCGTTCGAGAGGCAATATCAGAACTTCTGGATCAGAGTCAACATGGGCATGGAGCCTCGCTCTTCCTTCCAGGCGGTTCTCTTTGCAGCTATGCTGAGTTCAGTCGTTTCTATGAGTGAAGAGAAAGTGCAGGCTGAATACCAGGTTGACAAACCAACCCTGGTGAATAGCTTCCGTGAAGGAGCAGAGGCAGCTCTCGCCAAAGCCAACTTCTTGCGCACTACCAAGCTGGAAACGATTCAAGCTTTTGTCATGTATCTGGTATGTCATATCCTTTTACATCAGACCCTAAACAGATGCTGTATCGAATTTCCCACATATTCACGGTGTTTTGCGCAATAGTAGCACAAAGCTAATCTAGCGATTTCAGATCCCCTTGTGCCGTACTGAAGTGTCCCGCGCTCATTCTGCGCTGACGGGATCCTTGATCCGCCTTGCCGAATGCATGGGGCTCCATCGGGACCCTACCTCATACAGTAGCTCGCCAATCGAGATCCAAGTCCGGCGCCTTGTATGGTATCAGATCTGCTTCCTAGATCTCCGTACTTGCGAAGCTGTGGGTCCCCGACCGCAGATCCGTCTGGGTGATTATGACACGCGCTTCCCTCTTAACATTGATGATGATGACCTCGATCGCGCTGAGCGCGGTGAGCCCGGCATAGATGTCAGCAAAGACTCGGTTCGTTTCACAGACATGACCATAAGTCGTATGCGCTTCGAAGCATACGAAATGCATCGCTATCTCTGGAATGAACGCCCAAAATTAGACCAGAAGCGCACGGGCGGCAAGAACGACGTAACCATCACATCCATTCTATCGCGTGTTCAGTCATTCCTGGCAACCATGGAGAAGAAGTACGTGCCGATGCTTAGCAAGTCGAACGCATTGCACGTCCTGGCTTCCGAGCTCCACGGTATTGTCTCGAATCGATTGTACGTCTCCATATTACAAAAGTACATTTCTAGTGTTCGCAGTAGAATGCCTGAGCGCTTGCGACAGCTTGTCATGAGCGCTGCGACGCTGATCCTGGAGCATGGCATGGCGATTGAGCAGCATCCCATCTTGTCTCGATGGTCATGGATTGTTGGTGCTCTCCACCAGCATCACTGCGCACTTCTCCTTATCAGTGAAGTGAACATGTCTAAGCCTGACCCTGTCATAGAGCAACGGATCTGGAGATGTCTAGATTACTCGCTCGATCTCCCTCCAGGACTATCCAACGAGGAAAAGACGAAATCAGTATTGGCAGAGCTGGTTGGCAAAACTAAGAAATACTCTGATCTGAAACGAGTTCGCGCCCCGAACAATGCACCAAGTGTGCCAAATGCGCCACCACAATCTAGACAACAACCCCAAGAAGATCAGGTACAGCGTCAGGAAATTTCACCACCACCCGTGGCCAGTGCTGGTCCTCCGCCACATAGCATGGCAGAGGGATTACCCGCACAACTACCTGTGCAACCAGCGCGGCCACCTACTTTACAACATGGTTCTTCACTAGGTCCTAGGGTAAACAATTTTCCCGGTGCCATCCCAAGCGTGGATTGGGGCACCATCGATCTTCCAGCATCAGTCCCGGTTGCGCAGCCGCCAGTATACAACGACTACGTCCCTAACCCTGTTGGCGCGTATCCTCCCAGTATGGACCACTACAGTGGAGCCAACAACAGCAGTCCAAACTCTGCAATATACGGCACGACTCCTCAGTCGTCAAGTAGCAACCCCATGGATGCCATCAATGAAATTGACTGGGTAAGTCGATTCGCTCAACCGTGATGATTCAGTACTGATACAGAAAGCAGAACGATGTCGAGAAAATGTTTGGTAGTGCGCAAATGGACGTGGGAAACATGCTCATTCCGCCATATACCTTTCCGCAATTCTCGGTTTCAGACTTGCAGTGGCCTGAGCAGTATGGCTTGCAATAGACATGGGCTTGAATGCTGGATGGTGAAGAATTTACAGGTTGTGGACTCTTAATATCTTTTTTTTGGTTGAAAGAATTTTATGTTTTCATTTCGTTTAATACCATTGATGCGAAATTATCCCTAGTTTTTGAACAATCGTCCATTGTGTATCTCGGAAGATGGCAGAGACCACATAGCTGGAGTTGTAGTGCGAGCTAGAGGTGCAGTACAAGGCGGCTATCGCCCTTTAGGGAAGGCGCTGCCAAGGCTCGCTTGTCGCCGCAGGACCACCAATATTGTCGTCCCCCACCACGAGTTTCTGCCTCTTACGAACTTTCCAAAATATCCACGGCAGTCATTCTTTACTACCAGAACCGATTGACCACCTCAAGCACTAGCCATGCGTGAGTATCATCCTTCTGGTCGGCTTTTACAAAGATGAGCGAAGTCTCTGTGTGGCTAGGACACCGAATTGAGTGTGCGCCTGGCGACAAGAGATTTTGCCATGTTTGACAGCCAGGCTTTTCTATACGGTCATGCGCTTACATACCCAAAGCTCCCAAGTTCGATCCCTCCGAGGTGAAGGTCATTCACCTCCGTGCGACCGGTGGTGAAGTCGGTGCCTCATCCGCGCTCGCTCCCAAGATTGGTCCTCTCGGTCTCTCCCCCAAGAGTATGTATCCAACGCTCCGACGCAGACACCGCCGAAAAACAAGTCTAACAAGGCCATAGAGGTCGGTGAAGATATCGCCAAGGCCACTGGTGACTGGAAGGGTCTCCGTGTCACCGTCAAGTTGACCATCCAAAACCGTCAAGCCGCCGTCTCCGTCGTTCCCTCCGCTTCTTCCCTCGTCATCAAGGCCCTCAAGGAGCCTCCCCGAGACCGTAAGAAGGAGAAGAACATCAAGCACACCAAGAGCATTCCTCTTGATGAGATCATCAACATTGCCCGTACCATGCGCTTCAAGTCCATGGCCAAGGACCTGAAGGGTACCACCCTTGAGATTCTCGGAACCGCCTTCAGCACTGGCTGCAAGGTTGACGGCCGCAGCCCCAAGGATGTCTCTGACGACATCAGGGCCGGCGAGATTGAGAGTAAGTTGTGGTCCAGATGGG